TTAACTAACATTGAAAATAAAGGTTTAAATGTTGACACTGACTACATCACAATTGATTTTACATAACAGGTTTGTTACAGTTGGCTTTGCAGCTTTGCTTTATGTCTTCATGTCTGGGATGAACTGGTGGAGCCGTATGCCAATTTGATCGACTAAGTGGTCGTTTAGTCCGTGTGGCTGCAGAGTGTGGGTTGCGACAGGCATGTGACCGACAGTGCTGGGGATTTACAGTGCACAGGATTTATACTCCTATTTTGAGGCTCTTTGTACATTTCTGTGACAAATCATTGTGACCTTCACGGAGCCATGCGGCACACTTTAAGCCTGCACTCCTATATCCAAATCCTCATGATGCTCATTATAACAGCCCTACAAGGGCAGCACAATTTAAAAGGTCCTGATCTTAAAGCTCGGGATAAATATACTACATGTTTCTATAAATGTGCGTTAGGGATGGGTTTGGTTATTCATATGTGTAGATAAAATTGAATCAATTCTGTTTTATTGTGCAATTTCAAATACATTTTTAACTTATTAAAACAGAGTTAAATATGGAATATTTTAAAGAAAAATGACAGATTTGTACAGTTTAAAGTTATCATTCTGTGGGGCATCTGATAAGTCACATCTTTTTTTTCAACTGATAGTCACATCTTTTTTTATTTAACAATATATACAGTGGTGCAAAGGTTTGGGCACCACTGGTCAAATTATATGTTTTGTTGTTTTTCTAATCCTAAAAAAGTTCAAATGTTCTCTGAAGGGAACAATCTTAAACGCGTCACATTGTACAAAGCGCACATTTTTGTTTATTTTTTAATGATTTAACATTTTTGGAAAAAATAAAACATTTTTTTTTCCACAACAGGTTAAAGTCAGCTAATAAAAAGAAATGGCACATTATACTGAAGTTTGTAGAAGTTTGTTGCTCAAAGAGAATGTGTTATTTTTTTAATAAGAAAATCAATAAAACATATTTTTACCAAGGGTGCACTTTTGCATAACTTTGCATAAGACTGTATTTTCTCATTACATTTCAGTATTATTCATTTAAAAATGCAGATTGTGAAAACTAACTTCAGGGTGTTTATGGACCGGTAAATCTATTGGGAAAAAGGGCTTGCTTGGATAACTCCCACACTGTCCTCATTTGAGACCACTTTGTCAAAGCCCATGCTAATTGTTGGGGAGTTAGTGGCCCTCTTTGTTTTGAGCTCAGAGAATGAGAGCTGCAGGGGCAGACAGCATTAAGAGATACTGTGGTGTCTGGGTTATATGTGGTCTCATGAGGAGCAGGGGAAGCTCAAGCTGCTGTCCAAACTGGAGCTTATCAGCCTCAGATAGGAAGCTCTTTTCACGCTGCAGGCATTCTGCCAGGGTGACAGCATAGCTCGCCTCAGTCTCTTCCTTTTATCCAGAGTTTCTGAAGGATTGGGTTCCAACTGGGTGACTCCTAATGATTTTTAGCCTCTGTTTTTAGATAAACACTTCTCAGCCATTTGTTCTGTCTTAGATTTGGTGTAGTATGTAACTGTTTGTCTGTTGTGTGGATTTATGTGATGAAAACATGACCATTTTCCAAGTTCTCTTTATCCCTTTGAGTTAAACAAGCTTATTTTTGTGCCTAGAAGACTGCTATATGCAAATGACTGTTATTCTGATTGGCAGTTCAGGTTGAAATGTGGAACAAATTGTCATAATGAAATCCTCAGAGATGTCAGAAGAAGATAAACTTAAACCACTTCTTTCTAGTGTGTGGATCCTTTGAATGGCCACACTGACAGCCAAAAACAACACAGTGTTTAATCCCCCTAGCTTCAGCTCCAGTAACTCTGATACAGGCTATCTGCAGTAACAATACTCCTTATCACTATCATAAATGGGTGTGTATGGTGCAGGCTGTAGGTCATATGTAGGTGTGTTCAGGGCTGTGATGTCACAAACATGAAGAAAAAAAAAGTTGTTTTGCAGCTTAGTTTTCATGGTAACTATTTTCTATGATATGCCCCTTTTAAGAATACACTGTTCCCTCAAGACGCCAACAACGCAAGAGACCCTTTGTGTGAGCCTGATATGCAGCACAGCCCTCTAGGGTATTCACATTTTCTTTTGACAAGGACATAGTAAGTGTTTGGGCTTGAACACAAAAGGAAAGCAAAAATCTTCTGCTCTAATAATTACCATAGACTGTCTGCAGTAACTGCTGCAGACTATCTACAGCTGGAATCATCAAAAAGCATCTTGCAGGCCAAATTTAGCCTGTTAGCAAGTTTTCTCCGGCCCCAGCTCACTCTCCAAAACCGTTTTTCACTTCTGTTAAAATGATATAATGGGGTAAGCATTAAACACTGTTCTAGGAATGTGTGTTCTCACTAAGTTAGATATTCGAGTGTCTGGAAGAATTGGTTGTTTCTAGTTGACGATTGGTTGTTTCTCATGGTTTTATTTGTGTTACACAATGCCTGGAAAATGAGCAGGCTAGAAAATATATTTGTACAGCACATAGAGTTTAACCTGTAATACTTATCATAGGAAATATGAAGTACAATGTAAAAACACATGAGAGAAACCACAGACAATTATCAAACGTTTTACAGCTGAAATCTGACAGTCCTACACTGAACTGTTGAAATGTGTGAACGAATACAGCACAGCATATATTCTAGTATTTTCTATAGGTCTCACCAAAGGAGAAAAGTAGCTTCTCCTGAATGGGCAGGCTAAACTGTTGTAGGCTGAATGGACAATCATATTTCTATAAAGTCACAGTTGTGATATCACAAACATGGTCGAAATAGACTGTTTTGGACCTCATACACTTAATTAATTATTTCTCTAATATGGCCCTTGAAACTTTAGCCCTACATTAGACCTCATTAAGGACAGGACACAGAGGGATGCAGCATGATCCGACAGAGATGTATGTGACTTTTAGTCTTGGCAGTCCTAGGTGGCCTGATTTCAGGTTTTCTCCCATTAGCTATTCAACAGTCTCTCATATATGAAGTTAAACTACAATTAAACTAGCTAAAATGGTCATAAATCATGATCGATGGCCATCTATGTCCATTTGTGGGAACGTTCTCGGCCACACACCAATCACACATCCTCAAACTCACTCACCATTCCTTTGTGAAAGAGGAAAGCAGCAAGCAAGATTCCCTGTCTCATGTTTCCCCGGTTATCTGGCATATCCAGTCAGCACTTTAAGTGAAATGGACTCCTGAACCTAAAGCCCTTTAAGCAGAACTAGAGTCATGTACAGCGGTATTATAGAAGTTCCTAGTAAGAACCTTTTGCCTCATAATCTCACTGAGCAGACATACTTTTCCTCTTAGTCATCTCAGGCTTGTTTACCTCTGTCTGTCACTGGCCCAGACTTGGCTCGCTGTCACCTTGTGCAGGAAGTCTGCCGAGTTGAGGTGCATCAGGAGGGGCTGCGGGCCAAGCTGGGAGACCAATCCATGCTGAAATGTGCTTGAAGAACTCAGAGCACTGACAGATCCTATACTGAAAGCAGTCAGTCATCATAAATAATGGCTCTCGCCTCATGCCTTCCAACCATTGCTCTCGTTAAGTTCATCTCCTCTGTTGACACTGTATTAGAGTGGTGGTTCAGGAGGGTTTCAGAGAACACTGGCCGTGTTTGGTTGGTTTTGGTTCACGTACAAGTATGATTCACCTCCATAAATGTGTACCATCTCTGAATCTGACCTGTATCTATCACACTCAGCTGCTATGAAGAGGTCTGAGATCAATATCATAGCACTTGAAGTGCAATCTGAGCTATTAAGTTTAATAAGATTGAGATTGGCCGAGTTCAGTTTGTCAATTTCTAAAAGACACTGTGAAGGAGACTCAGTTTAGAGAGGTTTAACCCATTTGCCCTTAAACATCACACTTATTATCAGCAGTAAGAAAAGCATGTTATGATTTCATATTCTCACTCATAGCTTATAGAAATAGTGGAAGTATGATAAGCTTTTAATTAATAACTCATTTGTGTTCAAAAGTACAAAAGAAATTATTACAGTTTTAATTTCAAAAGTTATTTTCCATATTTTTTATTAATGGTCCAAGCATGAAGTGCTGGAAACCTTTTGATTTTGTTAGGATTTGTCTTCTTATTCTGATTCTGAGCTAAAATGAATGGTGCAGTGGTTGGTGGTTTTACATGTTGGCCCATAATTCCTACACCATGGGCCGTGCAGACATAATCATTTGTTGATTCCTTGGCTCAAGCCAAACAAAAAGCCTCAAGAAGCCACCGCCCACTCCAGGCTCTTATGCACATTTCAATATCTGTTACACGTGGATCAGGTGAAAAACCTACGACTAGTTGGCAAAAGTATCAAATCTGCATATGCTAAACATACTTTTGCCAACTAGTTGTAGGTTTTTCGCTTGATCCTCATGTAACTGATATTGAACCATTCATAAGAGCCTGGACTGCAGTAATTATCAAAAACATATTGACAGTTATGGAGTCAGTCATAGTAATATACAGCTGGCCTACAGGATGCCACAAGTCAGTTTGTGATTTCTGCCCTGCTAGATCTGCCCTGGTCAACTGTAAGTACCATTATTGTGAAATGGAAGTGTCTGGAAGTAACAATAGCTTAGCCACAAAGCGGTAGACCACACAGACTCACTTAGCCCTTAAGAGTCGCCTATCTTCCATTGCATCACTCAGTTCTGAACTGCATCTGGATGCAACATGAGCACAAAAACTGTGCATTCAGAGCTTCATGAATTGGGTTTTCATGGTAGAGCCGTTTGGCGGATGTCAGGAGAACGCTAACTACCAGAATGCATAGTGCCAACAGTGAATTTAGATGGAGGAGGGATGATGGTCTGGGGATGGTCTGGGGTCTTTTGACCATGTAGTGTGTAAATAGTGTAGCAATATGACTACTTGATTTTTAAGGTTTTTATGTTTGTTTTAATTTTTTATTCCTTACTAATTCTTCTTTACCCTTCTTTTTGTTTTTGTTTTGCAGCTAAAGAGCAACATTCAGTTCCTGAGTCTCCAGATAAGCCACGACATCCATGAGTAAGTGCCTTTTTCTAGATGTCTCATTTCCTGCATACAGCCTTTCAGCACTGTCATGTTTTGCTTCATGTCAGTTATTGTTTTCATCTACTGGTAAGCTTAAGCAGCAGAACAGGTTTCTGATGCTTACTGCTGCAACTAACGATTATTTTGGTAGTCGACTAATGTGTTGATAATTTTTTTTTTTGATAATATGCAAAAATGTAACTCAAAATAGCAGCTTTTGGGAATTACTGATGTGCTCAGACACAGACTAACTAGCTACCGTTACGTGGAGAAGGTTTACTATTTACAATGAACGCTGGTATCAAGACAAGCAAAAAATAGGGTAAACGAGACAGAGTAAAGTTATGCTATGTTACTCAAAATCATAAATCTGATTTACTATTGCACTTAACATGTTAGCTAACATAACTCAAATAGCCTTCTCTTAGCAAGTACAATCCATAAGACCTTGTTTTCCAACGGGTAAAATCACAACATATAACATTATTGCTAACTTTAATTGGCTAGAGAACGAAGTGGTGGAAAACACTTACCCTTTGGGAATAGCGTAAGACATCACGGCTCCAGGGTGCCATGAAAAAACAACTCTGCTTTACAGTGTCTGCATTCAACTTGTTTAATTGGTTTATTTTTGCTGAAATGCTCCCATACTTTTGAAAGTTTCGCTCTTGCTTTTTTGCCTCGCCTTCTTCACAGTCTCCACTGCGCCATCATTAAATATGTTCTTCATTAGTAGAGAATGCAGTTATGCCAGATAATGGAAGTGATACCGCCCCCAACACTTCCTGTGGTGTGTTTCAGTTACAAATTAATGAGGCTTCAACACTGAAATTCTAAGTCGACACAATTTTATAATCGATGTTGTCGATTATGTCGACTAATCGTTGCAGCCCTACTGCTCATGGCAAAAAGGCAAATCTTTCCATTTAAAAGTATGCGAATATAGCATCTACCCACTGCCGTCTGCTGTTTTAATGGCCAACCACTGAGAAACACTGACCTGTTCAGGCAAGGTTGAGTGTTGGAACGTTTGCTCTAGAAACTAAATAGATGAAAGAGAAGTTGAGCAAGAGCCAGCGCGAATGAGAGTAAGCGAGAGTGAGAGAGAGGCATCCAGTCTTTGTTCATTATCACATATGGAGGATACGCAGAGGAAATAGAAGAGGCACACCGCCCCTCAGCCAAGGAGGATGGCATTTTATGCTGAAATGTCACTGCTGAATATCATGTGTGTCATTTACCCAGTAGAGGACTGTCCAGAATGGACAATGTCTCACTTTAGTGCTCATTTAATATGATGAGATGTGTCATTAAAGATGAAGTCTAGCTTTTTATATTGAATTACATGAACACATAAAGCAAAGCTCCAAGAGTAGCACAACAAAAAAAAATCTTAAAGGGCACATATCATGGAAAATTGAATTTTCTTCACTTGAATTAAGAGAGTTTGATGTAGTCTGTGAAGTTATGTACCATTCACTCTGTAGTCCATGTGTGAAAACTAATGTGCGAAAACAGCCTGTTTTGATTTAATTGTTTTTGTGATGTCACAAAAAGCAAATTGTTCACACATACCCTACAGCCTATTCAGCTTACAGCAGTTCAGCTCCGCCTGTTCATGTTGAAGTTATAAGGAATGTTTCAACCTGGACTGCTTTTTGAATATGACACGATATAGGGCAGCCAATCAGAACAGAGGCCGTTTATACACACCGATCAGGCATAACATTATGACCACCTCTTTGTTTCTACACTCATTGTCCATTTTATCAACTCCACCTACATAGTACTTTGTAGTTCTACAGTTACAGACTGTAGTCCATCTGTTTCTCTGCATACTTTGTTAGCCCCCTTTTCCCCTCTTCTTCAGTGGTCAGGACCCCCATGGACCCTCACAGAGCAGGTACTATTTGGGTGGTGGATCATTCTCAGCACTGCAATAACACTGACATGGTGGTGGTGTGTTAGTGTGTGTTGTGCTGGTCTGAGTGGATCAGACACAGCAGTGCTGCTGGAGTTTTCAAACACCTCAGTGTAACTCCTGGACTGACAATAGTCCACCAACCAAAAATATCCAGCCAACAGCGTCCTGTGGGCAGCGTCCTGTGACCACTGATGACGGACTAGAGGATGATCCACTCGTACCAGCACAACACACCCTAACACACCACCACCACGTCAGTGTTACTGCAGTGCTGAGAATGATCCACCACCCAAATAGTACCTGCACTGTGAGGGTCCATGGGTGTCCTGAAAACTGAAGAACAGGGTAAAAGGGGGCTAACAAAGTATGCAGAGAAACAGATGGACTACAGTCTGTAACTGTAGAACTACAAAGTGCACCTTTATAGTGAGTGGAGCTGATAAAATGGACAATGAGCATAGAAACAAGGAGGTGGTCATAATGTTATGCCCTGATCGGTGTATATATCAGTCTTAAAGGAACAGTAACCAAAACAGCCTGTTTAATTCTAAGGGATAAAGAGAGAAAAGGAGATGGATTATCATTTTTTTTCGTACATAAAACTATACAAACGTCATAAGTGGACCTCAAGGGGAAAAATACACCTCCCAAAAATGTTGCATATGGGCTCTTTAGCATTATAGATATTCCTTTCTTCACTTTTATAACTTAGTAAGCATTGTTTTCTATGTGGTTACTGAATAATAAGCCTTAAGTTGTAGACGTTTGTGACGAATTAAGGAATTAAGTGGTTTCCCATATGCTGAAGACTATATTCAGTGAGTATTCAGCCTTTTTAACAGCTACACAGTTGTTGTCTGCTGAGTTAATGATGGCGAGGCTTTATGAATCAACACCGTTCTGCTTTTGTGTAGAACATTTGTGGCTTTCTAACTTTCTAACCCAGTGACCTGCAGTTCTCCCCCGTCGCCATGCAGTCTTGATTAAAAACCACTTAAGACTCCTCTCAGCTCCACTCACTGATACCCATCTGTCACTGCCTCAGATAGACAGCAGCCATCGCTGAGATGGCTAAGACAGGAATCACATTAACGGGAGCTGGGCCGGAGACAGGGAGACCCCTCTCTGAAACAGCCTCGCACACAGAGAGAGGGGCCCACACCTAGACTGACGACTATCACCATCTCAGTGACATTTCACTCCGTATCAACCTGAGAGGAATAGCAAAAAGCCTGAATGAAACAGTGTTAGAACTTTGTCTTCAGTGCAGACCAGTTAAGTGTGCTGAGACAGAATTCCAAGTTCAGTTCAGGCTTTGCTGTGACGTTCTGCTCCTGCACTGTTGATGTATGCTTTTAAAGGAATAGTTAAGAAAAGGAATAGTTCAATGAAAAATGAAATTTGCTCAAAATGTACTTGATCAGCTAAGACATGTTTGGCTTCTTTAGATTTGTAGCTGGAGCTACGAGGCCAGTGTAGCTAACAAGTAATTGAAGCTTATAGCCACGAGTTCAGCATCATGCAAACTGCCCAAGTTGTCAAGTCAAGACTGACTTACGTGCTTTCTGACACATTCTGACGCACGGTTATCTATAAATTTAGAAAAGGGTCGTCACATGGCTAAAAAGATTAGTAACCACCATCTTGAAATAACAATAAGTGGAATAATTGAATATTGAGAGACCTTTGATAAGTGCTGATATGATACAAATCATCATTCTTTCATTATATTTCACCTGACACTTTATTATTAGTTTCTTCTTTATTTAAAGGACACATATCTTATTTTTTTGTAGTTCATCTTTTCCTCTTGAGATCCTTTTCTAACATTTGTATGGTTTAAGTACCAAAAATGATCATAATTAATTTTTATATTACCATTTTCCATCCTTTCTTTATCCTTAAAAATTAAACAGTCTGTTTTTGTTACTGTGCCTTTAAGAATGAGATAAATGAGCTCTGTTCTAATTGGTTGTTCTGTATTGTGCCTCAGTCAAAAAGCACTCAGAGCTAAACACTCCCTAAAGCTTTAATATGAATGGGTAGGGCTAAACTGCTGCAGGCTGAATAGAGTGGATATATGTAAATGAGGTGGTTCTTGTAACATCACAGAAACAGTGAAATCCAAACAGGCTGCTTTTGCAGCTTAGTTTCCATATAGGGACTAAGGAGTGAATGGTGTGTTTTGAAACTTGAATAATATTTACATATTACTTCAAACTCCTTTATTTAGCTAGAGACATGTGGTTTTCCATTATATGAGTCCTGTAACCTTTGTACAATCATTCTAATCTATGGTCAGTTCAAAAATGCAGATTGATAACTGCAAATAATACCAGGCTGCCATTGAGGAGACGTTTAGAAATGGTTAAACGAACACAATAACATACATAAGATCACTACTTATTGTGGTTATTGTAATATTTTGTCACTGTCCACAAAAAAGTATCTAAATTTTTGCAATTTTTATTTTTCTACATAATTTGAGCTCAGTAGCTGCCCTTTACATTGTGTAAAAATTTCAAGATGAATGGATCCATAGAAATGCTCCAAAATTGTTTGGAATGAAATCTTTTTACATTAATTTACATTAAAAGTAAAGAAAGTTTTTGGCTTCCCTTGTAAAGTTACCATTTTGAAGATGCTTGTTTTTCTTTGGACAGCCACAATATGTAAATTAATTAACACAAGTTCACTCTGGTACATGAGATCTGCTCTCTGGCAGAGAGTAAAATGGATGAGCTTGTACAGAAGAAGAGTGCCAGTGAGTTGGTTTGACAGGCCCTGTCCTCTGCTATGGAGCAGACCCAGTTTACCGTACTGAGCTGGAGGCTGTATCCTGAGATGTGCTTGCAAATTGTTAGTATTACCAGCCTTGCTAATAATCTGTTCTCTGCACAGACTGCATATTACACTGTTAACATGCAGAGGTTCTCCACATTCATTTGATTGGAAACCAAAATATTGCCAAACTGGCATGTTATAAATTATTAAGTAATACTTGAAGCTAGCTCAGTTAGTAATTATGTGACCATCAGGGAAAATGCAAGGTGTAGGGTAAGGATCTGTGACGCTCATGTTACTTTATAATTGAATTTTGAATATTGTTTGTTGCGATAATTCCACAGGCGCTAATCATTTGTCTAAATTTACATTATCCTATTATCCTGAGGCTTGAAATTCATCTTTTTTTTCTCTTCTGCTGATCTGAGTAAGAATCTGAGATCATAATTTGGGATTCAGCTGTGGAAACTGATCACAGATCAGCATACCTTGTAGCTTTTTTTGCACTTTTTATCTGATCTGAGACTTAATTCCTCTATAAAGCACCAGCTTAGGAATTACTTAATGATCAGTACTTCTCAGTTAAAAGGACAGCTTGTGATCCTGAGCCTCTTTCACACATGCAAACACCAAAGTGGACCTCGCTTAACCGTGGGCAGACATTTAAAGGGCTTGCAAGTCCCTCAAGTGTGGTGATTAGTGACTGAATAGAGGCTCATTAGTGCTGAGACTTGAATTAATGATGAGATTAAGTGGTTAGTGGTGGCTCTCTGGTGACCGAGGACCCAAATTACTCGCTTAAGCGTGGTTCCCACCCAACATAGGATTGTTGGGAAAATTCCTCCACAGGCTATAAAGGAATCCCATTACTATTTAGGGTATTAGCAAGAAACATTAACACAACTTATGAATGTAAATAAGAAGTGCAGTTAAAAGGCAGTTAACAATAAGTAACTTATTTTACTTATTGTTTTCGTACTTAATATCGTTCTCTGCCTTTTGAAAGACTTTGAGGAGTATAAAACAAATAACATGTTAATTGATTATTTGAACAGAGAACAGCTCATTTTTGGGGTGTTGGTTTTGTATGTGAATGATCCATGCTCTCATTGGCTGTCTCAGTAAAGGGGGTGGAGCTGGGGATGTAGTATAGAGAGATCTTACGTGTTCAACTTTTAGTTTGTTTAGGCCAAAAGAACAGAAAGATTCACAAAATCAAGAACATGTACCAGCCAAGCATGTCATTACACAGCATTTTCCAATGCAAAAACCTTTTAATTCACTTAGAAAGTAGTTTTTGTTTAAATGTTAGCCGTGATAACAAATAAATGTAAAATTCTATTGTTTTGTTACTATAGTAAACATGTAAAATTACTCACATTCTAACCTGATATCTCACCCAGTAGTCTCTGTTCAGATCAGCTGCCTTTGGCTAAGTTGTTTACACAAAAGTATGTGATTGGATAAGCTATTGGAGTGCTACCGAAGCTGCACTGGTTCAGGTTCATATATGTGACCAAAATAGGACCGTATTTTGACGTGCATTAATCAGCAGATTTTTTTTTGCTTGGTTTGGTCCGCTAAAATGCTTCACGGGGTCTGCATCTAGACCGCAGTCCAGCAGTTGATGACCCCTGCTGGAAAGGAAAGTTTGGGTGTCCTGGTCAATGGTTGTCAAGACAACATATATAAACCTACATAAACATTTGAAAAAGGCTTATTCCAGTAAGAATCATCTGTCAAAAAGGCAGCTTTTGTCAACTTTGTCAAGTGTGCATACAATCTTGTGCAAAAGTGGTAAAATAACATTTTGTCATTTTCTAAGTAAAAATAAGTTACACATCCTCTACAGAGAACTCACTTCTGCACATTTTAATACACAATTTCTGTCTGTTTACTCAACATACTGGAAAAAAATATAAAATGTGGCCTGTACAAAAGATATGGCACAAATTATATTTTGTTTTTTTTTCCCTGATTTGTTAAACTCCGTAAGTAAATAGAAATTGTGGACTACAAATAGCAGAAAATCTGAAATATTGAAGTTCCATGTAAAGGGTGTGTTCATTTAAAAAATTAAACATAAAAAATCAACATGTAATTTGATCAGGGCATTCGGACTTTACACCAGAGTGGCCAAGACAATTTCTCAGATAGTAGATACAGTGACAAAGAACTTCTGTGTGAACTGGCAAGGAAAGTGCAGGTTTGTTTAATGTCCCTGCTGAAAGAAATCATAGAAACCATTAAACGTTTCTGTTGGTTCCTAATGGTGTCCAGTAGTCACTAATGGTATTTTGTGATTTCCTGATGGGTTGATATCACAGTGTAAGGGATTCTAATGGTTTAACCTGTGTTTTGCGACTGATTCCAGATGCATTTGATGGTTTATTTATGGAATCTAAAGGTATCCTAGAGGAAACGTGTGGTCACTAATGTAAACCTTAAAGCAGATTCACATTAGCAAGTAAAACCAACAAGTTTTAATCCTAATGGTTCTAATGGTCTTTATTCAGCAGGGATGTCTCCTTCAAAGTAGTGTGTTTTTTTTAAAGCTATGGTATGCTGTGTAACTCCCATATCAGTGTTGTGAAGTGTTATGAAGCCTGTTAAAGCATAGTCAGATAATTTCCTCTGACAGCTCCCTCAGATACCCTTCGATTACCTCAGTGGGGTTTTCCAGTGTGAGCCATAAGCTTCATTTCATCCTGAACTGCAGAGCCGAGCTTGCATGCTTGGCTTAAATGGAAGCCTACGTGGCCTCACGGGAGAATGGAACTGACTTCTGTATTTGTGGCCAAAAAAGTGTAGAGTAGAGCCACACTAACAGGCCCTCCATTCAATGGCCATTAAAGTGCCCCTGAGGAGAGTTTGGCAGGCACATTCAGAAAAATGTGATGAAAGCATTAAGCTGCCCCCCTCTACACTGTCTAAGTCAATGGGCTTTAATATTGTAAATCATAACTACAGCAGCTCTGTTCTTTTCCTGGCTCAGAAGTACCACTAAACCATCACTCATCACTGTGGTCAGCCACAGAGCCACTTATTGTTTAATATTCATCATTTTTTACCGTGTTGATTAAATGAATAAGACATGAAAATGGTCTTGAATGCACAAAGTGGCCCCGGGGCTGGACTGTAAATGGAGAGAACGCAAAGGGAGTAGCGCTGTTTTAGCCTGTGTGATGTTGAAAGAGATAAATGCAAAAGCTAAAAGCAAAATGGGGCAACATAACGTAATGCCGCCTGACCCTTTACCATAATAAGCAGCCACATTAGTCTCTGTGCTCAGTATATCTGTCCTAGCTGATCATTAGGCCTGTCTGACCTACCTGTGCTGTGATGTATGGGCTCTGGTGCTACAGGTGTAGATTTGACCTTAATTGCTAGATATATGTCCATGTGTACATGCTTTTTATTATCTCTTGTAGGAGACCAGACACTATAAAGCAGAAGAATGCCTTCCCTCCAAACTTCATCCACTCTTTGGACTCCACCCACATGATGCTAACTGCACTCTACTGTTACAGGTGACTGTTCTTTACTCGCATATTCTGTTACTGACCATTTAAGCCAGCTGCATTACTTAGAGGATTTCTGTAGATTTTTTTTGTCGTTTCTGCAAGATGAAATGTTTAGAATGTAAACAAAGTTATTCAGAGTGGTTTGGTGTGAAATGCTGTGTTCCAGAGAAACTTAATCAGAGTTGTTCACAGTGGTGGTGATAGGAACCAGACGTCTGAAGTGCTTAATGCCTCTAAACACTCGCTCACAAAACAGTGGTTACAATTATGCTGCCAAATGCCTAAAACATTGTTTTAGCAGTCGTTTAGAGAAAAATGATGCTTATTAAAATACATTCAGGGAGAGGTACATTCAAGATCACTTGTAGTGCCTTCCTTATAGTCCACTACAAATTCCAGTTAAGGCAAGCCACTGTCAAGCGATTTGATGTGATTTTGTATTATTTTAGACAAATACAAAAAAATGTAAAAAGATACCCATGTTATACACTTTTTAGATGCATTTTCAACCTAATATGTTAAGTAAAATTGAACAACTTCTCAGGAGAAGAAGGATGTAGGTTTGGTCATGTTTGATCATTTATTTCATGGGAAATCGAGGAGAGAAAGTTGAAAATTCAGCCAATGTCCAATAAAAATCCAACGTTACAAAACTGCAGTGTTACGTATAGAGCCATAACACTTTCATCACATCAGGATCAGTTCAGCTTTTTCAGTACTTGCCAGATTAACCTGAAATTTAATTTATATTTATTGAATTTTATTTTCAGGCTGAAATTTATCCAGTCAGTCTGTAAAGCATTTCCTGCACATCCTGTTTGCTGAATTGCATGCTGTTCTGCCATCACAGGACAAACGTAGCTGCAAAACAGTCATTACTTACCAACTAATGCTCAGCGAAATGATAGTTGTGAAAAACATGCTGTTATCAGAAATAACAGCACTTCTAGAACGCTTCTTAACTGATCTGATCATGTCGACGGTAGTAACTGTTGTATAATTATCAACATTAAATATACAAACTCAGATGATACATGTAGGTTCCCTGGTGATTTTGAATAGCAAAATGAAATGGTTGTATTTGCCTTGTTGACATCACAACACCTGATTTCTATCACAACCACTGTAAAGAAATCTGAGTTAGTGTCTCTGCAGTGTACCATTTCACATTAAACTACTGTGAAGTACATCTATCTCAACCATTTAATCATGCTAAAATTTTTGAAAATTGGTGGAATTCTCCTTACGTTATTTGGTAGATATTTTGTCATTTACCGAATGTATTGCTTGGTACGATTATGCGTGTGTGTAATTGCCACCGACACCAAACCTGATCTTTTGTACTATATGCGTTAATATGTACATATGTGTAGTAGAGAGAGTTCTGTATATTAATGTGTACATAATGTTTTTGCTAGCTGCCAAATTTATAATTTTATAATTTAATATATAATTTAATATATAATTTATTATTTAACTTAATTTAATATATACATATATCATTTAAGACACTGCTGTTTGATTTTAAGAAACCAAAAACTGACAAATATTTGATAGTTGTCAAACATGTAAGTTGATAAAGTCAGTTTAAATAAAACTGTTGAAGCCTGTTTTAGTTGCCAGTATTAACAAAGGATAACATTGTACTTGTACCATGCTACATAACACTGACATAACCATGCCATAAATGCCAGTAATATAGCAGTGTCAAGTTACCACTACCATTAACTGTCTTGACAGATGTTTGATGTTATGACAGCTAACTAGAGAACACTTAGTAAAAATTATGTGACATAAGCTGTCATACCATCAAACATTATGGTATCTGTCATGACATGACCAGTGATGTGACACTGTTGACACTGTTATATTACTAAACAAAATCTCTTATGGCAACTCCTGACAGCGTATGATACATTGTATGGCCAAAAATGTGAGGACACCTGACCATTACACCTATATGAGCTTGGGTATTAATGTGGAGACCATTGGGGGCCCTTTGCTGCTATAACAGCCTCCACTCTTTTGTGAAGCATTTCCACAAGATTTTGGAGTGTCTGTGAGAGGTTGTGCCTGTTTAGACAAAAGTGCATTTGTGAGGTCAGGCACTGATGTTGTGCGAGGAAGCCTGGCTCGCACTCGGCGTTCCAGTTCACCTCAAAGGTGTTCAGTGGGTTTTGAGATCAAACCATGTTTTACACTGCAAAAAATGGTATCTTGTCAAGTGAAGTTATGTTAAATCCGGTCAAAACAATCTAATATTTCTCCTGTTGAGATTGTTTTAAGCTTATTTTAAGATTATTTTAACTTGTTTCCAATACATTTTTACTTTTTTAAGTGATTTTATCAAGTAAAATTATCTCACTATATTGGAAGATAATCTGGCTTGTTTTAAGAAATGTGCTAGAAACCAGAAAAATTTTCTGCTAGTATAGTGAGATAATTTTACTTAATAAAACTACTTAAAACAGGCAAAAAATGTCTATAAATAAGCTATATAATCTTATAATAAGTGCACAACAATCTCATAATCAGAACTATTAAATAGATCGACTAGACCTAAGATAATCTCACTTGACAAGATACTTTTTTGGCAGTATATGGTCCTTGTTTTGTGCACAGGGGCCCATGTCTTTGTATGCTGTTGCATTAATATTACCCTTCACTGGAACTGAGGAGCCCAAATCCTGAAAAACAGCCCGCACTATTACCCTCCTAGGTAGTGTTCTTCTGGCATCCACACACTAAGATTCGTCCATCAGACTAGCAGATAATGAAGTGATTCATCATTCCAGTAGACATTCCATATGTCTACTACTGTTTCGTGGCTGAGGTGTTGTTGCTCCTAGAGGCTTCCGTTTCACTGCCCTGAGCTGAATTAGGAGGGGTGTCCACATACATATAGTTAGGCCGTGTAGTGTTTCTCCAATCTTTATGGCATGGCTGTGTCATGTAACAGGGTTCAAGTCAAGTGTTACCAAAAAAAAGCAGTATGTTTGTGATGAAATGTATTATATCTGTTGGGTCCTACAATCTCTCTATAACTCTATCTTCTGTGTTTTCAGTGCTGGCATCACATTCGTATCCGTGCACGACTGCTTCTGGACCCATGCTCTCACAGTAGACACCATGAATAAGGTACGTTTGTTTTCTCTGCCGTGCTGCGATTCTCGTGCGTTGCCCCGTGTTCCTCTGGAGCCAGATACCCTTCTGGCCCTGCTCAGGAACCCTGCATGTCCAACCACCTCAGTCTCCCCGCGCATCTGTTACCATGGTGACTGCACCATATGTTCCGCAGCAGCTGACCCGAGTTGCAAGTAGTTTCTGCTGGCCTTGAATAGCCGTAAACCAATTGAGATATTAAACCAACCTGCGACTCAAACTGTACAGCACACCACGTTCCACTAATTTGAGAACGTTTCTGCATGAACCTCGCAGGACCTCAGATTCAAATCCACAATTGAATCAATTATCTCACAAAGCACGGTATGTGTGGCGAAGTCGAACAGTTCATTTCTCATTATACAGGCAACTGAACTGTATGGAAGAGGCAGGCGTATTGTTCGCGTGGTCAACACCTGGATACACTTTGCTGAAAGCTTCCGTAACCTGTCTGAGAGTAATTTATGTGTCTTCAAGCATGCATAAAATTGCCTCTGAGGAGGAGTGAAACTCAATGGCTCGTTTTATGCCTGTATAAAGCCTTCGTCTTGCTGAATTAAGACAACTCATTCTCTCCCTCCCTCTGCTTTTCTCGCTCATTTTCTGTTGTCTCTGACTATTCCCCTGATGTGCTCTGTGATCACGGACACCTTTTAAAATTTAAATGAGAGAAGGGAAGTGTAAGATAACTGTGTGAGGCGTGACAGGATAACTGGAAGCAAGAAAACTCTGTAGTTGAGCTGTAATAATCAATGACATTGATTCTGGAAACATGTAGACACGTTTACGTAAAAACAAAAGTGAAATCAAAAAGTGAAATAATGTTCATGTGATACATGATGCAGTGATTCCAGTTGGTTTGATTGATTGTTTTTTTTGTAGGCATGTGCCATTTTTTGTTTCATGACATTACAATACTTAAAGACATTTTCATGGTAATTGATATGCATCACAATATTTCATTTTTCTGAGGTTTAATCAGTTGGAACAAACCAAAAATAGCACCACATTAAAAATACTATCAAAAGTTTTCAACAGTAAGTTTTATTCAGTGTTGCACATACTGCACTGCACTGCGTCCAGTTAAATACGACAAATAATGCTCTTTTTCTAATGAAACATCTGCGTTCTATAAGTACTTAAGATATTCTCACAAAAACATATTGTGGCATATGACAGTAGCAATCAATATCGACATATTACCCACTGCTATCATTTCATTTTACCATAAAACAAGAATTGCACATACAACTTTGAATGATGCTGGTAATGTGCTGGGGCAACGTGAGAGGAAACAGTAGAGTGCATAATGGTTTGATCCGTCTATAAATCAGTTATTATTCAATAGATTTGTCAGTTATAGAAATAACCATTAGTTGCAGCCCTAGTTTGTAGCAGTAATTTAATTGGGCCTATCATTTTGGTATGAGCCCGAATGTATTCCAAGAATTTTCTCTTTGAGCTTGACTCAACACAGCATTGTATTGTGAGTCTCAACCTGAAGAGTGTACAAAATAATTCTGCCCAAAACCAACCGGAACCTTATCATGAGGTTTGAGTCTGAAACTGTCCTGAGTACAACAAAATTCTGCCCAAAACTGACCTAAACCGGTCCATCATCACCCAAAGTGCCAAATAAATCATGACAGGGTAGCACTGTTTAAATTACAGCATAGCAACAGCAATAGTCGTCATTAAATCACTGCTAAATAAAATGATATAAATTAATATGCTATAATAAAATAATCCATCCAAAATTAAGTGTAAATCCTGCTTTGAATAGTTAATGCTTTTCAGCATTTTTCTAGTCCTAAAACTGTTCCTTTACGTATTAAATATAAACATCCTTTTTTCTCATAAACATCCTGTTTCTCATAAGTTTGGGCCTTGTGGACATTTGTGCCAATTTTTTTTTCAGCAGCATGAGTGAGACTTCAGCCATATTGAAAACTGGTTTAACTGAATAAAAGTAGGGAGGAAGAATAAAATTAGGAGAAAAACTAAAGCAGAGACACACAAGTTAAAATGAACATGAATTAAAAATCAGAACGCATTTTTTTTCCTTAACGTCCTGTATTTCTGAGTAAAACAGAATACTTGAGCAGGATATTGGTTAGTATAATATTTTCCTGTCGCTGGAACCCAGTGACATAACCAAACGTCAGAAAGCATTTACAGGCCGGCAAAAGTCACTGCTGAATTTTGTCTTTTGAATGCTATGACACAATGGATTGGACTTAATATGACCGAGGATATGAACCATGCCCTTTTGATTTCAGTTTGATTTACTTTAAACCCTGATAAGTTCCAGGAGGCAGGCTGTGAGAACCCAAAATTTAAACCCGACCCATATTTGGGAACAGATCTCTGAGCCTGATGTAAGCAGCCGGGTCCCATCGTATTTGGAGCAGTACTTCAAGCTTTAGTATATAATGACTGTGTGTGTACTCCTTGCCTCTCCTCAGGTGTGCCGTGAGCAGTTTGTGGCCCTCCATAGTCAGCCCATCCTCCAGGACCTGTCCAAGTTCATGCTGCAGAAATATTGCTCAGGACCAGTGTGAGTTTCAGTGTAAATCTCTGTCCTGGATTCGTGACTGTGTGCACTAATGAAAAGTCTCTGGCACTTTTAAAACTGATGTCGAAGCAGTTTCTCACAGCCATTGTAAGGGAATCAAAGCAGAATGTGAGAGTGTTGCTTATTTTTATTGAATTCAAATGAAATGCTCTTGCTGGCTTGTACCTTTGTAAGCCATCTCGCCATTTTAACCTTGTGCAGGTTTAGAATAGTACATGCGAAAAGTATTTCTTACTGAATAATGAATACTGAATAGCTACAGCTGTTCTCATGAAACATTATCTTGAAATAACTTCTTAATGACGTTGTAAATGATACCACTCAGTGGCATAGCCAGAATTTCTCTTTCTGGGGGAACTGGTTACAGGTTAATGGGGCCAGCTGTGAATCATTACACTACAGCAGGGGTCAGCAACATGCGGCTCTTTTACTGCCCTGTTGCGGCTCCACAGCAGAATTAGATTTTTAGGTAAAAATAAAATAATCTTCCTTTGCAGTAAAATAAAGCTCTGCTGGTCGTTCAAACACAGTTTTAACAATAAATGGTCTGAAACGCTTGAGTTAATGTATAACTGCTAATTCACCCTTTACCCTGAAGGTTGGCTCGCAGACTGCTGGTCACCATAGCAACGCAGAAAACAGTCTCTCCTAGCTAATAGCTAACGAAAGGGCAATGAAAGATTTAAGATGAACATTGATAATTTGGGGACGAATGGACTTATTTGCATTTATAATTACTCCAGCTGGTTTCCTGATGTGTATAATCTGCAGCGAGAAACTGTCAAACACTGAAAAGTCACAAAGCTGAAGTCAGTTTCTCGTTCACCAGCTTCTTGTTCTGATTTTCCCGTTCCACCTTAAACGGTGCAGCAGTTACCTTCTGGCGTCAAGCACCATTTAAGGTGGAATAGAAAAATTTGAATAAGAAGCTGGCGAACGAGAAGCAACTTCAGCCTCATAACAATACAAATGTTGAGAGACATTTTACAAGAAACTGTTCTACTTTTGAGAAAAAGTTTCCTGCCGGAGATGCGAGAGGAACGGCTGTTACTGAGCTAAAGCTTACAGCAGAGCAAAGTTAGTCTGTGTTTTCATTTATATTATATTTTTTGCCTACACTAGGACATCAGCACATACTGAGACAGATTTACAGCCAAGATGGTAAAACGTTACATAAATAAATGGACATAAAATGTGGCTCCCAAGGTGGATTGATTTTTGTTGAATGGACAGAATGGCTCTTCTTAACATTTGGGTTGCTGACCCCTGCACTACAGTGAGGTGGACAACCACTAACTAGCGAGTTTTATTCTCAGAAGCAGCTGACAGAATACCATGGTGGGTATTAGTTAATTAACTACAGGCATAGATGTGTAGAGCAGTGGTTGAAGACTGTGATTTTCTCATAGTTTTTTCTATGTATTTTCTTCTAATATCTTATATTGTTACTTTTTTGTATATATTTCTATTTTTTGATCTTTTTCTATACCATGGTCAACTTTACCATCTGTCTAACTCACTACCTAGATAAGTAGTAGCCTGTGCTAGGAGCTATCACAGTTAAGCACACATTTGCATGAAAAAACATTATGTGTCTTATCGTAGAATTTGTGTGAAACAGGGGTAGTATGTAGGGTATGTGACCGATGGCGGCATGCAGCTGTGTAAACACTGCCGTGGTGATAGAAGCCGCTTCTATTTTGGTGATATGCATGTTGTTAAATGTAAACCTTGTTCCTTACACAGTACACAGAAAGTTATGTAAATGTGCACTAGCAGAGCTCACCGTGATGAGACTCAAGACTTTTTTTCTCCTGTATTATCATATTCTGCTGTAGTTTTGTCTGTACAGACTATTTCCAATAATATAGGCAAGCCAACTCAGACTGTGATAGCAGATATACAAAAACGAAACTAGATTATTCATGTACTTTTACAGTAAACTACTTATTTACTCTTACTTGAGTAATTTACTTTGTAAATACTGTTACTCAAGTTAAGTGATCACTATAGTAACAGTACTTTTACTTAAGTAGGGATTTTCACTACTTTTTCCACCCCTATTAATTGGAAACTGAAGGCAGCTTGTCTCTGAGGAGAGAGAGAGGGAGGCTCTGGGGATTTGGGTTGTGAATCTTCCCTTTTTCCTGGGTAATGCATTGTGAAGCCCGTTCGCTGGAGCGCACCCCACCGACTTCACAATTATCTCTGCTTTATCTGCTTCCAGGGGCGAAACGAAGAACAAGAAGTTTCTGGAGTACTGGAGGATGATGCAGCTGCTGGCAAAGGTTCCAGAGACAGGTGAGTGGCGTTTGCGCAGCCATTGACTGACAGCTCACCTCTTTGCCCCCCGCTTGATGGACAGCTCATCAGTTTTAAGGCAGCTTTGTGGTCTTATATAATCGCTAATAATGGTTCGTTCCTCAGAGCCACATCAGGCTGCATCTGCAGAGGTTCATTTCATCAGAGACGCAAATTGCATTACGTATCGACAATTACGTTGAATAGTTAATCTGCTTATGTAACGAAAACCTGTGAAGTGCTGTGCTTCAGCACTGCCACCTTTGACCTTGTGACATATATGCACATGTCTGGGCACATGTAGCACATTTTCTGATGTACTTGAAGAAATTTTAATGTAATATACCGAATGTATGCTACCCATAGTTGATCCCGTTGGTAAAAGTGTTACTCATTTTTGTTGCCAGATGGTAGAGCAGGTAGCTATTGTTGTTGAATAACCTCAGAGAAAGAGCACTTTGAGTATTCTGCCAAAGCCCCCCCCTGTTATTGTCACTAATGAAATTGGCTCCCAGAGGGGACAGCTGGAGGTAGCATATGTGTGTATATGCACGTGTGTGGGTGTGTGTGCGTGATAAGGCTGTTGTCTACTCCTCTGTTCTTTATCAGAGCCAGGTGACAGCAGGCACCTTGATGTGTGGGCACAAACTCCTTACTGTCTTATGTTCCAGCACATTTAGTTTTCCATAGCTTAAATTGTCGATCAGTAACTAGACTTGACAATATGTAGAGAATTGATCATGAGCAGTTTTTCTGTTTTAATGGAATATGTAACAACAGATGTTATAGCTGTTGTTTAAAAGCAATGTTCTGGTTTTAAGGGCACACTCCAAGTTGGAAAATTGTGCCTCAACGTCAGCTGTTTGCCTTGTGTAAGGAGTTTTAAAGCAGTAAGCTCGAACAAGCTTTTTGCTACAGGGGAATTCCACCAATTTTTCATTTACTTTTTCCTAATAGGCGCATTTCACGCATTAATGTGAAATTTTTAACACCACCCAATTTTTAACATAGTTAATGCATTTTCAGAGTTTGAACCGTCTGGCTGAAACCGTCTGTAGTAGTCTTGGCTGAAGCTCAGCTGCATGTTGCTGAGATCCATGATTGTATCCCTTTCTTACATACAGCTTTTAAGCAGCTAATGATAAATCAACAATCCAGGAACTGTATGAATGAGCCCAGCCAGTCAGATTTTAGAATTGTGACTTTCGATTTCATTACATTGAATTACATACGTAAGGGCAGGGGTGCTCAAACTTTTTGTTTAGGGGGACTGAAGTGCAATATCTGTTGTGGTCCAACAGCCAAAAAGACACAACAGATAAAGAAGGTAGATTTCAAATTGAGTATGTAAAACATGTATTTTATAACATTGTACTCTATTATATAACTAAAATATATACAAAAATGTGATTTTAAAGATAAAATAAGAAGTTCATAAGTTATATGTCATACTTAACTATGCTTTTTCCTCTCATTGGTTGAGGGGGTGGGGTTAGGTGGGCCACATCAAACATCCTCAGCTGTGGCCCACAGGCCATAGATTGGGAATCCCTGTATTAGGCTGTCTGCTGCAGTGGTTCTCAAACCGGTCCACAGGGGCCCCCAGACAGACAACATTTTTGCTGTATCCTTATGCACTGGACCATCTGGGGGACACTGAGGACCAGTTTGAGAACCTGATCTACAGTGTGTAGTTACCTTTTTAAAACAAGACCAAAAGTTAATATTGGTCATCAGCACTTCAGTAATGCTTGCAGTCTTCCAGCTATGGAGGTGCTGCCTTCAGTCTGTTCAGTCCTAATAAGTGCTGACTGGCTGCAAAAGCTGTTGTTTCATTTGATGACACTGTAATTCTGTAATATGATACATGCTGTCAGTGACAAGACCTCCAGTGAAATTGAGTGTTTCATTTAAATCTGCTTTTTGCCAAGAGATTTTCACAATATCTCAGCAGTTTTCTATGAATATGCCTCCCTGTGAAGTGTCAAAGCTGCAGAGATCGTAATGCAGTTATTACATGTAGTGGTAATGCTGCTGTATCGTTTTCTCTTTCCTTCAGGTGATTTTGATCTGCACAGAGTGAAGGAATCCACCTATTTCTTCAGCTGAAGTGAATGATGGGCCTCCACGGACTGAGCCGGAGTGTTGTGCAGATTTGCCCCATGTAGGCATGCTGGGCAGAGAGACTTCACCAGGCAAATAGCTCATCAAACTGAACGGGCACGTCAGACTGAGCCATCAGTTGCTAATGTTGCTGCTACTACTGTTGTCATGGCATCCACAGATGCTGGACAGTTCTAGACGTGTGCTTGTGAGAGGGAGAGAGTGAGTCAGGCAGGGTCAGGTACGCTACAGCCCTGTAGACGTGTGTGTAAATGTTGATTTGGTGAGGTGTGTTGAGGTTATGTTTTCCGAATGGTGTGTCTGAGCGACTGTGCGTGGGTGCTCAGTCTGTTTTTTCTCCTCATCGTAAAGACAACTCAACAAAGTCCTCATAGAGCGTGATTGAGGAGTCTGTATATACAGTACTGTGCCAAAGTCTCAGCACAGAAAGTTGAATTTAGTGCTGTTTAAATGGACTATAAGTCTTTATTTGCTTGGAAAAATTCCAACATTAGAATAAATACAAATATACATTAATACAGTAATTAATTACAGTAATTAATTAATCTTCATGCCACCATAGATAAAGAGGAACTGAACCTGCGTCCATCTAAGCAACCCACAACATAGCAATTGGTCATTTAAAAAAAAAAAAAGGATTTATTTTTAATGTTTATTGAATTAAATATGGGTGTAAATCTCTGATTCTTCGGATTCAGTTTAAGATTCGTACATTATGAAATCTCAAATTTCATCTTGATTCCATTTCATTTGTTTGGTACAATTTAGCAATATAGACAATAAACATTTGCGAATAGAATTAATAGATTATTGTAATCTGTATAGTTAATACAGCTAATGTTCCAAAATCAATGCAGTTGAATCATCACCTTCAGACAGATTAGTCTCAATGCCTTTTATACCCCTACTTTTCATCTGTTAATAAGTACTAATAATGTTAGTGATGCACCGAAATGAAAATCCTTAGCCGAAACTCAAATTCAGGACAAACTGGGCTGAATACCGAAAACTGGAAAAAAACACATAATTTCAAAAACTGTGGCTACACATGGCATCTCTGTGCTAGCAGGGACTTCACGGCTACGTTCACATTACAAGCCTCATTGCTCAAATCCGATTTTTTGCTCAAATCCAATCTCTCTGACACAATGGTTCACACTCTTTTAGGTAAGTGACTCAAATCTGTCATTAATGTGAACGAACCAGCGTCCTGAAATGACCCTCATGCACACATCCTACTCAGTAACGTCACGTGAATGAATCCCATGCATCAAGTGCATCATCAGCAAACCAACTAACGAGCAGAACGAGCTTCGCTGCTAAGATAATTAACTCTGATCAGCTCTCATCTGTTCATTATTAGAGCAAGATGAAGGCCAAAAGGGTGAGATGTACTTCTTTTCCACTATTTACAGGCTTTAACATCTGTTTGGCGCTGCTGCCATGGTAACACTGAATGATGGCGCACGCGCAGTGGAAAGAAAAGCACATGAATTCTGATCTGAGCGTTCGCCATGTTTTCAGGATGTATCAAACCTGTAATGGAGCTCTTGGACGTTGTACTTCCTGTGAGTACTCGACATGAACAAACATTATAAATCGCTTGTCTAATGTTTTTCGCAGAAACTTGGAAATAGGTTACGTTTGTCCTCGGCTGCTCGTAAGGCCAGAAACGTACTTCGCACAAGTGCACAAATGCAGATGGGTCGAGCTACGCAGGCACAGATTTGTACATTGTTGCGTTCTAAAATGTCACAAAGCATTTCATAATCCAACGCAGGCGGAGCTGCATTCTGAGCATTACAGCAAGAGGCGCTTAAGCAACAGCCAAGCCTGGCCGAGCCGACTCATTCCACCAGTATGCCTCCCCCCCAGTTAACTATCAAAGCAGACGAGCAGCTGGACGAGGCTCTCGCAACAATTGTCTGCTCGCATAAACATAAACATATTACATCATCACCTTATAATTCTTATAGACCAGTTAAAGCAACTGTTCATGTTTAGTAGTTGAGGATGTTGGAATGACAGTAGCTCCCATTCTTATTTGTCCTCTATCGCCCTCTTGAGTATTGTGTGTTTTAAAAGCCACAGTTACGTAAGAACACATCGCGAGGTTGAAGGACTTTGCGTTTTCAATACATTGGCCAGGCATAGTCATTTGCGCTTGTGTACTTGCGTTGAGCATTCTTATGGTCTAAGGTGTCTGAGTGTGTCTGCGGCGCAGGGGACTGAAGGGAACAATCAGCGTTTATAATCACTTTTTCTCATTTTCATTAGCATTTAAATTATTTATAAAGCCTTTGATTTTGACACTTCATTGATGGACTGTGTAATCTTTTTCAGGCAAAAATTTCAGCCTTTCTTCACGTTCAGCCAAAAATTAAAAGTGCCATTTTTGTCTAATTTTTGGTGGCCTAAGCAGTAGTCTTAAACCGTCGTCTTGGCTGGCCTAAGACTTTAACACAGTACTGTATATTTGTGTGTGTACATGTTTCTGGTGCGGGGCAGGACTCCTGTGTTCTCTGCAGGGCTCTGATCCGCTCCTCCACTCCTGAGGACTAACTCCAGGCTGGTTGAGCACACGGGCTGGTCTCTCATCAATCTGTGCTTCCACACCCAAAGGCCCGCTCTTCCATTTCCACTCAGTCCTCATTCACCCCATCATCATATGGCAACCTGCTGCTCTCGCTCTCAGAACAAGGCATGGAAGTACGGAAAAGCAGAAAGGATGGCTACTGACCTCTTGTGAATGTTCTGGACGCTGTTCAGAGAGATTCCCTCAAAGGAAACTTAGTAGGCACTTAATGGAATAAACACATTTTGTAAACTTTGCCTTTTCTTTTTGGCAGACATAAGTGGTGTAATATATTTTGTGCAAAAGTCAGATCTAATCAAAATGTGAAATCTCACAATGTGTAATAAAGTCTATTTTTTATGCTACTAAAAAAAATTCACTGCTTGTGGAAATTTGTCGGTGTGTTTCTTCAGTGACTGTTGTTTTCCTCTGTTTTATTCTCATAAAAATGTGTCCTCCTTACTTCACACACTCTGTTTTAGCTCTACATCATGCTCAAAACAGCCAAAACTATCGGTGCACAAGAATGCTCGCCTTAACGAAAAGCATGGCTTACAATTCATGTAGCATCTTGGCGCCTGTTTTGTCTGCGCTGGAGCTCACAGTGACCGCTCTCCCTACTCCTCATTCCACAGTTTGAATTTGGAATCTCAGTCTCCGAATGTAAAGCCCTGTTCTGACTCACGCTGGGCCCTTACGCTGGGGATATAACCCGAGCCCAATGAAACAGGAGCAGGGAACATAAAAATGGTCACTATTGTCAGTGCAGTCACTTTCAGTGACATCTGAGAAGCTAAAGCTTGGTGTTGCTGGTCTGCTGGGTTGTCCTGGGACGAAGGAGACAAAGGTCAGGTTGTGACACTGAATAATTTACTAGTATTCAAGAAAGAAGTATGATTCAGAGAGTCGCTCAGACATGCTAGAACTGAGAACCTCTGACATGCACGTCTGTCCAACTAATAAGCTCTGGTTCATCTTTGATTTTTGGACATACAGCACATTCTGTATGTAGCTTTGACCTGCACACAGACAGGAAGGAAAGTGTAACATCATGTCAGTTGAGCTTAACTGACTGGCACACAGGAGGCTGTTCACCTTTTTTCAAGTGCAAATTTTCTCCAAAGAGGAACTCGTTGATCCAACTGGTCACTTTCATCAGTTTGTGTAGGAGGTAAATAAAAACATGGCGGTCGTGACACGACTGTTGTGGTTTACTGCCAGCAGTCAGCTATCGATTATATCCTATTTGTTGGGTGTTTTTGAACGCAAACGTAGCAGCAATAGACATGTGAGTGCATTGTACATAAACAACTGAAGTATCTGATTTAATCATCCAACTGAAGGATGTTTGTGGTGACTCCTGGTGGGAAACACTTTTTTCCCCCCATAAAACCTTAGAGACCACTCTCAGACTAGCCAAAGTGTAATGATAGGGTTGAGTAGCTACAGCATTCTGCATCAACTACACCAGAGATACTCAACCTTTCCCACCTCAAGGCCCACCTGTTCATCACAAACAAGCAAGACTCAACGATTTTGCTTAAAAATGTATAACACAGTGATACGTGGGGGCCTGAATAATCAGCAGAATATTGGTTTGAGGGGACAACTGAAAGGTCAGGTGTTTCTAGAGGCAAAGGGCCAAAAAGATTTACACATTTTTTTTTGAACACACCCTGGACAAGTCACCAGTCCACTGCAGGGCAGACTGTCTGAAAACATTTTATATTACTTTTATTGTTAAGTCAATTATTTCTTCACAGATGTTTATGACAAAATGCCATTATACTGAGGGAGATCACTAGCCCCCCTCAGTATAAGTCCAAGGACCACCAAGGGGTGCTTTGCAGCCCACTTGTGGTCCTCAGCCCAGTGGTTGAGAAAACCCTGAACTACACAATGTATCCACCCCTCGTATTTTGGAGTTCTTCCCAGGTGTCCCATCTCCAAATAGAGGTCTTAGTTCGCTCGTTTACACCAAGTCAAATTTGTAGTGATTTGAGGTGTTTCATGTTGGCTGCATCAAACAGGACCAATCAAGACTAGGAAGACGGTTTGATTGGAATTTGCTGTGAGAGTAGCCGGTATCCCCGCTACCAGACAGAGTCTCCTCTGCTCATTGAAAGAGATTAGTGAATGGACATGGTATCAGCGGCTATCTGGACCCACAGTGCTTGCTGAGTGCCGACCTCTCAGCAGGGCTCCCTGGAGTGGCTGTGAGAAGCAGGAGAGGAGCTGCCAGGCCTGAGCACAGAGCCTATCCTTAGGCTGACCTCTTGTCCCCGGTGCATTCTGCTGGGGCGTCTCATTCTCACCAACACTCAGCGCCGGAGCTGAGAGGTCGCGCCCAGCCCGAAAGCGAAGTGAGGGCTTCAGATTCCAGAAAGACGCAGAAGAGTACAACGGAATTACTGTTTCACGCTTGAGTCTTTGGGAGTGTGGCAGAGCCTTTATAGGAAAGTCTGCCCACTCCGCTGCTACCCGGGCAGTTATTTTCCACACATTTAAAACCAGGTCCCTGTTTCTCTGAATGAGGACAGACCAAAACTGAGCACCACAATGCTTCAAAAACATATGTGAAGTTACTGGAAAGTGTGCAATGCAAAGAACAAGTTATTGTTGTTTTGGTTACTGCTCATGCTCATTTGGTTACTGTACAACAAAGGAGGGATTTTCTCATTTGCAGTTTTGCCAGCAGACCGATGGGCTCTTTTTATTGAAGGGCGCGACTCTCTCTGTAAAAGCTTTCCCGTTTTTTCACTTTTTAACTTTTAACTTTTTAACTCTAGTGAGTTACCAGATAGCTAATGAAGTAGCAAACCGATGCTAGAAGTAATTACCAGCTATCTAAATATGATTATGCATATAGTAGCTAGTGCAGTAGCTGACTAGCTAACTTTTCATAAAAAACCTTTTCAGTGGTTCCACTTGGTAAGAGACTTGGGAATTCCTCCAGTCTTTCAAAATCTCTGAATAATTCAGTCCTTGAGATGTAAACAGTGTCATTCAGAGATGTTTGATGTCAAATTTTAGAGAAATCTAAAAGACTCTGGTTCCACAGTTCCTGTGACCACCACTGTGAACCATTCTGACTTGGCAAGTTTCTCTAGAATGAAGCATTTCACACCAAACCACTGTGAACAACTTTGTTTACGTCTCATTTAATTATGTAGAGTTTTTGAAAAATTGGTGGAGTTTCCCTTTAAGGAGTTTTTGGACCTGACACTCTTGACTCGGGTTGTTCTAAATTTGCTGATTCACTCTCAGGTCCTTGCAGAATGTATAGCAGAGGATAATCTTGGGAGAATATTTCAGCCTCAAAAGAAAGTTCTTTTTATAGCGTTCGGAGTCAGAGCCGCTCCGAAGACTTCAGAGGAAAAGCAGTTTCTCCATCAAGGACAGGAGAGCAGGAGACCAGCATTCAGCTGTCCGTTAATAAGATGGCCTGGAGCAGCCGTGACAGCAGAGCGTAGAGGATACGGACAGCTAATATTTGATGTGATGTTGGCTGAGGAACACAAAGCCTGTAGCCACTTTATGAAGTCTGCTTACTGTTTAAATGGTTCTCCAGCTGCCACATGTATCCTCTGCAGGACTCCATGGTGCAGTTAAAAGCACATCATGCAGACATTTCAATAGCTTTTACTACAACTAAACACTGCTCATCTACAAATGGATGTCAGTGCTAAAAGTTCTCTAGACATCCCTGTAAGCGCGTCTGTGAGAGTTGAAAGTTGGAGGCAGAACTTCAGATGCATAAAGTAGAGCAGCTGTGAAAACGGAAGAGACTGAGTTTTCCACTGTTTTGTTTTGGCTTAATTATCAGGAAACCCCATTCTGTCTCACAGAGGCAAAGTCTTCCATTTATGTAAGGAATGAGGGAATAAAAGATGAGAAAAGAACTTCTTTCATAACATCAGTTATTAAACATTACTATTCTTATTGCTATTTAAATGTCTAACTTGTCATGACGTCAGAATAAAGAGAAACTTTCTATGTGAACCTGAAAAAGCTTCCCTTAATGACGCTCCATGGAACTTTCAGTAGTGGTCAGTGTGTGAAATAGCCCGATATTTAGGGGGTCCCATGTTGGCTGCATACTCCAGCATTGGCTGGCTGCTCACACGCCGTAGCGGTGATGATGCTAGCTTCAATGAGTGCGTTTACATGCACTCAGTAATCCGATTGTTATCAGATTTCTGCAGTTATCTGATTATTCAAATGGTCACGTAAACAGCACAATCCGATTTCTTAGATCAGAGTAACTCCTAGAAATCCTATTTAGAAATCTGATGAAGAGAGTCAGATTTTAGCCCAGTAATCAGATTTCTCAGTGCTCTTACTCTGATTTCGTTCAGATTTCCCAGTCTGCACGTGTGCGAAAACAGACAGCGATACCGAAAATAAGCAAGCAGCGTTGCCGCAAGATGGCAGCACAACACTTTTGGAGCGATGCTGAATCCAACTACATGCTTGATGAAATGAAAGATTTAATGTATGTTCAATTTTCAGGTAAAGTGTCGCGAGGTTTAAAAAAAAAAAAAAAAGCTGCGGCATGATGTTATACATTGTTTACATCACGTCTTCTTCTGTGAGTTTATTGGCTGGTTGCAAATCAGAAATCCAATTACTGCCCGACTCATGTAGACCTGGAGTTTCCCTATTATCTGATTACTCAAGGGCATGTAAACGCATTGATCGGATTATTGACAAAATCTGATTTTCCGCAGTTATCGGATTATTAAGTGCATGTAAACGATCTCACTGGCAACAAAAAGCTCTTCTCTAGTTTGGTTGTAGTTAAGTTCCTCACATTAACTGAGATCTTACACATCTCCTCTTTTGCCTTCGCTTTGAGTTACAGTTCACTTTGTCTCTTGGGAAACTGGGCGAGTTCTCAGATTTACAACTATATTATGCCATATTGTAAAGTTTTTCAGAGGATCCTGGATATAGTTACAGTTGCTAGGCTATGAAAGACCAACTGGGTGAACCAGTCTGCTACAGTGCCACCCTGAGGCAGACCAGTGCTGCAGCTCTAATTAGTTAAGAATCTTGCCTTGTGGATGAAGCAGCTAAACAACAACAGCATAATGTCAAAATAAGCAATATTTTTAAATAAACAATGATTTATTTCCAGAGACCCCCCCAGAGTTTTGATTTTGAGACAGTCAGTGGGCCCAAAAGGTTAATTGAAGGTCCCAGGACCCCCCGTATTTCACACCTTGATAGCTACTAGTTCTAGTAGTGGTTCTTCATATTTCATCAAGCTCTCTCCATGCATCTGATTTATTATTAATGAATACACAGATTTGTAAACTAATTATTACTGATGTTCATCAAAGCTGATCTGCTGGGTTTCAGGGAGTCTAAGTTTGGAATCAGTGAAAAAAAAAGCCATTTTGTGGCAGAAAAACGTAGAATGTGATTCTAATATGCTAGTCGTGTACTAGCATAAAGTCGTATAAATGTGTCATAAAATGTCTAAAAATGTCTTATTTTTTACTATTAGAGGTTTTACATTTGATGACTGATCCAGGCCTTTTTTAATGGATCAGATATCAGTTAAAATAAGCCTGATCCAGTTCTGATCTTTCCTTTTGTTGTTGTGCTGTTCACTCTGCTGTGTAAAGGAGCCATAGACAGACATTATTCGCTGACTTGCAGCAGTGAGGCTCGAGTGTAACAAGCTCTCAACATGTCTGCAGTGTGGAAGAACTTTAAGGTGGAAATAATGAGAATGTGTAATATTTAATATGTGGGTGTTTCTACTGTGTTTAAACAAAGTCCATATAGAAAAGTCTGGAAAGTCTGTTCACTCGAAGGCCATATTTGCATCACAGACAGTTATTATTTCCCACCATACAAGACGAGGCTCCTGTTTCCTTGAACGGGGAGAGACCAAAATACTCGAAACTGAAGGTCAAATCACTGTTTCAAAAAACAGATGAAATCCCTGATAAAATCGGACAAAAACCTCACAACTAGTTTGTAGCATTTTGTTCAGTAACATACAAAAAAACTTTTTTTTCGGGTTGTTCTGGCTACTGTGTTCTGGCTGCTAAACTGCAAGCTGATTGGTTCTTTTTTTTGAAGGGCAGGACTTTCTCCACAAACAGACACCATGTTGAGCATTACTAGCTTTCCTGTTCATATTTAATCCCTGTCTCCTCCTGTATGACGTCTCTGATTTAAACTGGCCATCTTTTTGTTAAAATAGACACATATATTGTGAGCATGCAGCTGTTCTCATCTGTTTCCTGCTGTTTGTCTGCTTGACATCAAAGTTGACAAAAGCGGTCTTTATGAGAGTTGACGTCCAGTTGGAATAAGCCTTTATAAATGTTTATGTAGGTTTATGTCTGTTGTCATGATGAGCTTGTGTTGGTGTCATGTTGTCTTATGAACACTGCCCCTCAGTAAAGTGTCACCAAAATAACTTTTGGTATTTAGTTTATAATATTTAAATGTTCATTTTTTTATTGTATATAACATAAGGAAAATTCTTCGTTTGACAATTGATTCCAAACTTTTTAACTGTAGTTCTGACATAAAACACTAAGCTACAGTATATTCAAAGAAGTGTAGTAGAAAGAATCTACTTTTATACAACCATAGCAGAGTGAAATCAACAAGGAAGAAAGACTCACCAAAACCTTCCTCTCTTTATTCAAAGACGAAATCAAACTACAGAACATAAGAAATTGTCCCCAGCCTGAATGCATAGCAAAACTTGTGGCACATTTTCTTCACAATGATCAACAGCAGTTCAGTCAACGTTCTTTGCCTCTCTTGGACAAAACATTAAAAGATTTTTTTATTGCTTCAGACATTTGAATTTGGCAAAGTGTAACACTAGACAATAGAGGAGATCATCTCATAGTCCAAGAAAGCAATTATAGTAAGCAGTGTTTTTGGGGGATGTAAGGATTTTGAGGTCTGCTTTACCAGCCTAAAGTGGTAGATACAGCAACACTGTTTAAACTTTAACTTCTGCAGAAGAGGTTAAGGGCAACTGTTTTAAAAAGTTAGTTTATATTACCAGACAAGTAAAATCAACCCTATATATAGACCACCTCCCTTTGATTATTTAATTTCTGGTCCAAACAGCCATTAAGTACAAGTTGTTCATTCTTCAGCATAGGTAAACAAGCAGTAAACATGTCTAACAAAGTCACACAGAAGCCTCAACAACTATATGTGTGTATTTAGTATTTAGTGTTTCTACTCTTTGTTTGTATTACAGCTTCCATTCTTTTCAGGAGACTTACTTTCAGTTTTTCAAAGAAATCTGCAGGGATATTTTTTCCACACCTTCAAAGTTCAGTCTTAGAAGTTGGTTATACTGTATATACTCTTATATATATATACTCTGTTTCCCACAATGTAAGTAATCTGAAACACATTCAGTAATGTTGAGATCTGGACTCTGGGGTGCTCAGTCCATTGGTTGGGAGAACTAGCAGCTTCTTTGATTTTGCAAATGTTCTGATTTTTTGTCCATTTCCTTTTCTCAGTAAGGGCTACTTGTGAGCAACACATCCTTTCAGACCCATAGAGCTGTAGTGCACTCTTTCACACATTAACTGACAGATCTGCTCTTTTGTCTTCAGTTTGAGAAATGAGCAACAGTCTCTTGGAAAACTGGGCAAGTTTTCAGATTTACAAATGTGTTACAGCATATAAAGTTTTTCAGAGGTATCCTGGGCATAGTTACAGTTGCTCGGGCCAACTGGGTAATCCAGTCTGCTACAGTGCCACCCTGAGGCAGACCAATGCTGCAGCTCTAATTAACCAAGAATACCAAAGACAGACGTTTGCCGATTGTGGGTAAAGCAGCTAGACAATGCTACAATAACACCATAATAAGTAACACTTTAAAATAAATAGCAATTTATTTTCAGGGCCCCTCAGAATTTTGGTAGGTTAAATAGAGGATCTTGGACCCCCAGGACCCCCTGTATTTCGCACCTCGAATGGAAGGATGGACAGAAACACCTGTGGATCTTTTCAGATTTGAAGCAAGAGTGAAGCTTGATTTTCACCTCTCTGTCTAAGATGAAATTTTTAAGTTCTGTTTATCTGATGGGGTCAGTTTTGGTGTCTACCAGGTCTTGCACAGTTGTTAGAAATCCAATTTTCTCTGTATCTTTTAATAATTTTTTGAACTCCAGTTTTGTAAACTCCTGTATTTTCCTTTAACTTTCCCTTTCCTATGCATGTGGATCATCTTATATCTAATCACCTCAAAAATATTCCCATAGAAATGAATAACTTGTACTAAATGGTCATTTTGGCTGGAAATTAATAAATGATGGGTGGTCTTTGACTTTTGCACCATACTGTAAATAATCAGGGGTGGGCAATATGAAGGCATTTATCGTTATCATCACATTAAATCACAATATGCTTTCCTGAGCATACTGTGGATACTGTCATTACTGGATGTTTCATTACAAACATAATAAGTCCTGTTTAACTGGGTTTAGCGCAGTGCATTATGCAAAACATTGAATAAAGTCATTGCATCCATAACATTTGATATTTTTTTCCAGCTTATGAAATTAGAAAATGTCTTTAAGCATCTTGATCTTATATTTTGCCATATTGCCCACCCCAATAAATAATCTGTAACCACTTTTAACCATATTCCCAGATATAAGCCACTCTCTAAGGTCATAAACGAGACAAGGCTTGTATAAATCTTAAACTGGAGGCCTCTTTACAATGTATTGAGAATATAACACATAGCAGGCCTTCACAGGTGATCCGTCTGGGTAGACAACACATTGATAAATCAAGGGTGGGGGGGACACATGGGAGGTTGCAGCCAGCCATCATCAAACAACGCAGTGCTGAAAAGAAACAGCAGGATCAATAAGGGCTTTTATGGAGCAAGTGACTGAGTGGAAGTCACCTCATTACGCAGCTATGGAGAGTCAGTTATTCGCTGAAGCCGAACCATAGACAGCAGATGAGCACGGAAAGACTCATCATGGGAAACAGGTAATCACTAGAAGTGGCTCACGTAATCTCACTCACCCTTTCTGACGCCAAGGCATGGCTGTGGACAGAGCTAGCTCGGAGCGTTCGGTGCCTGACATCCCATGTGACTCTGATAACGCAGGTGGGGGAGGGGGGTCTTCACACATTGGATGCTGCTACATTCTCTTCACATTACTAAGGGAAGTACGTGACTGAATCTGAGAAGCTAGCCTGCGTGAATAATTGCATTAATTCCCGCTGAATATCCACGTGTGAAGTGGAATGTGAGCGCGTTGAGATGCAGCAGACACTGCGAAAGTGTTGACTAAGTGTTACACCCACCAATAAGAATAGATAAAAATGTATTTACAGTATTGTTGCCATTATTAGCAAATCCTCTCTTTGCATACTGCTCTCTGTTTCCACTGTAGCTAAACACAACCATTTTTAATTTGTTTGACAGATACAAAGAGTAACTTATATAAATCCGTCATGGGTTGTAAATATGGGCGAATATTTGAATATATTTGAATATTTAAAACACACACATACAGACACACACAGGCCTGGACAAAGAATATGGCTTCTAAGTGGAAATCAAGGCAATGAAGTTATATTTGTTTCCATCTTTTCATTTAAACACATAATAATATTGTTTCTTTTTGGCCCAACTTTGGTCTAGAGGGAGAAAAAAAAGAAAGACGTTGCTATCAGTAAGAATGTGCTTCCAGATTGATCAGCTGTCAAATACGCTACACTGTCAACTATAAAAATACAGAACTTAATATTTTACATCAACCTTTTACAGTCATGTGAGCCCCTGGTCTGTTTTCTAAGTGAAAAATAAGTTAGCACATCCACATGCACATTTTAATGCACAATTACTGTTTATTTGCCGAATTTAATATATTGAAAACAAATAAAGCATAAAATACGGCTACTGAGTGGTACAACTGTCTAACTGCTTAATCATCAGGAGCTCTGAGCAGTAGAAGCTGTCACCTGTCCAGGCTAGGGGCACTGTGCGTTGGGGAAGTCCTAACCCGTGGGTGGGATTTAGCATTAACTAAACTGGTGATTTTAAAAAATCTGACAAAAATATGCAATTTTTTTAGTAAACTACTTTTAAAGTAGTATTTTGTTGACCTAACCAATTAAGTTCTGAGTAAGCTCAACTACAAACTATCGTAAGATGCAGTAAGAGGAAAACTTTTGGCTAAACTAAGTTGAGAAGATTAAAATAAGCTACGTAGAAGGTTGACGTAAAATACCAAGAATGTTTTACAGTGTAGCTTTTTGCCTGTTTTCCTATAGCAGTTTTAATATTGCTGAATTATAGGTCAAAGGGCTGTTGTCTAATAAAAAAAATACTTGTAAAGAGTCGGCTTCGACAGAATAATTAGAAGCACGTCATCCCCCCTCCCTGGTTGCAGCCCACTCTTCATTGCATCATAAAGACTTCTGTAAAGAGTCAGCTTCTACATTGTAATTAGAAGTATGTCATCCCCCCTCCCCTAGGTGCAGCATCATAAAGACTTCTGTAAAGAGGTGGCTCCTACATTGTAATCAAAAGCACGTCACCTGTCCCCTCTGTGTCAGCGTCCCAGGCCACTCTGCATTGCATCATTTGGACTACAGTATGACAGACTATTTTTCTTGCAATGTTTGAGAATACGACCACAATAAAGAAAGCAATTATGAAGAGAGGCAAACTGTGTGGGAGAAAGCTACATTGATGTTTATGCTTGTGGGTACAACAGAAACATCTCAGTGATGTTTGAATCTTCAATTTTACAGACTTTGTATGGTTAATAGTTGTCAAGTCTGGTAGTTCTAGTCACCTCCCCTTGTCACCAATCACACTGCATACATTCTTAGAGTAAGATCCGGGGTGTGACAAGGAGTAGAGAAACATACTTGCTGAAGGAAGAAACACCCAGCTAAAGCACACAGCCAGCACCCCCCAGCTCTGTCAGAAGGTCACAAATTGGAAGATAATCTAGATCTGACGTGATGGTCCGTGTCTGGAAGGCTGATTACTGAATCCTTCTTGGGCAGTCCCGAGTCCTGGCTTGGCCTCATTTGGGGCAGGGAGGCGGGCGGGAACGCCCCCACAGACATCTGGTGTGGAAGCGTCATCCTTGGAGGAATGGCAGCCCGGAAGCCTGTGGGTCCTGGAAGATTCTGAGGGGGTCCGATGGAAGTGGAAGATACTCGGGTGGATTGGGGCGGGCTGGGGGCAGCCGGCTGCACCACGTCGTGTGGCAAGGACGGCTGGGAGGCCGAGAGGGCTCGGACGTCCTGGGTTATTGTGCTCCTGGGGGCTGCTGCTCGGTGCGTGGGGCTGGGGACGTGCTGCTGCACCAAGGACAGCTGGGACCCTGAGGGGGCACCCATGGGGCTGGAGCTGTACTGGAACGTTCGGCCAGCTGTGGCCAAGGGGCTCTGGATGGGCGTCCCTGCAAGGGCAGAGGCCAGAGCGCCGGCAGAGAATTGGGAACCTGGAGGCGTCTGCTGGGTCCCGGGACTGGCAAGACTCTGGACCACCTGGAAGCGCCGCACCATGCGAGGGGACTGGAGAGCGCCATGACCTGTCAGAGGGTTTGCCATCTGTGGGCAAAAGCTCATGGCCACGGCCTGCTGCAGGGTGGCGATGGCGGAGCTGGTGGGTGGCTGGCTAGAAGGAGGGAACATGGTCCCATGGGTGGAGGGAGTGGCGGACATAGCGCGGGGCCTCTGTAAGTCCACCAGCTTCACCATCTCCCGGTCGTACTTCACAATCTCCTGAATCAACTCATTCTCGCGGTTGTTGAAGACGCCAGAGTTTAGGTCGTGCTGGACTTTGTGCATCAGGATGGAGTTTTTCTTGCCTGAAAGAGGAAGAAGGAGTACATGGAGTTCAGTTTTTTGCCTGTGCCTCAGTGTACTCAAATATTACATATACAGGGTTTCCACAGATTGTTCTTCCCCGGCCGCATGCACCATTTCTAGTATGAAAACTGATGTGAGCAGAATTATTATCTCGTTCAAAGATGAGAAATAGCAGCAGCTACTGCATATGCATTAGAGCAGTATGCAACTGAAGCATACTCACCATCCCATAAGGTGGTTGTTTAACATAAGGAGTCCAAACTAAAGGTATCAGTTCAGAGTATGTAATACTATCAATATAATAAAAAAATAACAGATTTAACTGTATATTAAAGTAAGTGGTAAAAAAAAAAACAATCAATAAATCAAAATCATCATCAAATGTTCAACACAATACAAAACTGTCATTATGAAAAAGAAGCTAGATATCAAACCTATCAGTTCTGAATGTCACATTATGAACAGTGAAATTAACTGAGTAACCTAGTAACCTAGTAATTGGCAGATAATTGCGCAGGTATATAATCTATGAAAACAAATGTCAGATTGGACTTGGTATCGACTGACACTCAATATTAATCGGATCAGATTGGGTGGCAAAAAAAGACAACTTTAATTAAATTGTACAGATTTGAATGATACCTAAAGACCATCTTATGCATTAAATTAATGCAGAATAGTCTGCCAACCAAAAATATCCAACCAAGAGCAGCCCTGTGGTCTAAACTCACCACTGATGAGGGACTAGAAACAGCAGAACTGATAATAAGGTCAAAAACACTGACAAACAATAAGTTTGAATAAAATCGATGTTTAATACCATATTGTTATGCTGAGGTCTCAAAAAGGTATTAAAAAGCATTAGATTTTGAAAATTGTGCAGCAACTCTTATATGTTTACTGTACATATGATGCATTGAGACTGTTCTCATAAATGTATTAGTTTCCAAATTACAACATGGAAGTTGGACTTAAACTGCTGATTATAGACATAAGTATGGTAAACGTACAAGTTCTTTGCATGATGAAATGGTTCTGCTATTTTCAAAAGCTTGACTTAGACAATAGAAGAACCCTTTTTGGTGCTATATAGAACTATTTTCAAAAAGGTTCTACATGGTTCTTTGAGTGTCTATACAGAACCATTGTCTTTACTAAAGAACCCCTGAAAAACCATCATTTATGTAGTGGATAGATCAGTTGTTCACGTAATAAAACTACTGGTAGTCGTGCTTTGCAATGATAAGTTCTGATATTTGCTGTCATCCTTTTATTTCAGTCTCTGTGAAACACTGTAAGTAATTTCCAGGGCTACAGAAGCGCTTGCAAACATGTACTATGTAACCAAGGTCTAGATTCTCCTATTACTATACGATTGTTATTACTCCACTTTTATTGCTTTTCCACTGCTTATCAGACCAGTACTAGGTGGAGTTCAGCCTGTGGCTTTAACGAAACATCAACATTTCAATAACTAAAACTAAATTCAAATGCAGTCTTGCTCGAGGTTCATGTGTTTACAGGCATGTTAATTCCCTCAGAGTCAGCAGACAGCCTGTTTTCACTGATGCAAATATCACTTCATTTCAGCTCTTGACGAGTCATCCAGTCCTACGTGCAGCAGGTGCCCCACCCAGCGCAGCAGGAGCAGACTGGGGCGCTTTTTTCCCTATTTTCTGCTGAGTCATTGTGCTGCCAATACTAACATGAGAGGGAGCATGTGGCCGTAGCCCGCCCACCGCTCCCGCTGCTGAGAGAAAGCAATTCTCCAGCTGAAATGACCTACCTCCCGCAGACAAGTGCCTGAGCGTCTCTCCCTATCTCGATCATCTCCCCAGCCCTCTGACATCTCCCACTCCGCTTACAAATAACACTGCAGGGGATCCGATCCCTCTGCAGCCACCTTTCTGTCTTTTTAAGTAAACAGGGCAACAGCTAGTAGCACGTTCTGGAACATGTGCACCGAGGTTTGCTTTAGCTGTGGAATAGGTGTGCTTGTTTTGGATGTCACGTCCCTGTTTGTATGTATTTCAGTCATCTTGCTGATCCAAAGCATCACTGTCATCTCTTCATGACAGCTGCCAAGACCATCCAACAAAACCAGCTAGCCAATTTTATCACAGCCTTGCTAACACATGCCCCTGCAGACTCTCCTAATGCCAAATAACCAAAGGCAGAGCTCGCGTCGCAGGATGAGCTGTTGCAGTGTCTGGAATCCCAACTCATCTGCTAGCTGAACGGATCATGTATGGAATGTGGCTGCCATAGCAACAGCAGCCGTGCGGGCCCTCTGTAAACAGCGGAGGTGGTCATGTGACTCGGAGTGACATCAGCAGCACACTGACCTTGGAAGAGGAGCAGAAGACGTAGAAGGAGGAGGAGGGGGGCATGGAGGCTTAGCAAATTACATGTTTACATACTGTCACCACCGGATTTCAATTGTAAGAATAAATTAATGGCAAAGGAGATTTTACTCCTCCACTGACGGAAACTGAAGAAAATCCTGTTTTTGTCATTAAATGAATGGCAAATGTAATTGTATCACTTTTTGCTATATACAAACACATAAGTTGAAGCACAGATTGATACACTGGCAGTCAGAAAGAACTGGTCAGACACGGGTCATACACTGATGCTTAGCGACTGTTGTGATGGGCTGAAAAGTTTTGCTCATTAGTTTATGTACACCTGGCTGAACTTGTACGATATTCAACACTTTTTTTTTTTTTTGAAAAGTATGAGTGATCATACAAAACATGGACTATGTATTTTCAGTGATTATTATGGTTCTAATTATACATGCACATTTCTGTGATGATACATAGCTTCATCTGACCACTAATACTAATAAGTAAATGTCTAAGTTGGTCACACATTGTTTTAAAAAGGGAAGTCTTAGGCTGGTTTAATTGGCTTGAAACTTACATTAAACTAAATTGTCTTTGAATTGCATAATATAAAGCGTCTTGCAACTGACACACAACTCGCTTGAAACTCAACAGTTGCAACCGTCACAACTTCATGTTTCATGAAACAGCTAATCATGCTGGTAACGCAGCACATGATCATATCGAATGACATCATTTCAAGAGACTGACTTCACCTGATCAATGGACAAGAGCGTGAAACAGAAGATGGTATATTCTGTCCAGTGAAGTAAACAAATTAAACAAATGTGTTGTGTGCAACTTTTGATTGTTTTTGAATTTCTTTGTGCAACTGTCAAGATACATGGAAATTATGTTGCATGCAACCTGCAATATGCAACTAGTTGCATAAAAGTTTACCCCTGTAAAGCCTAGGCAAGGGGTATGAAAAATTATGAGCAGAACTGTATTCCTTTTGTTTACTAAAATGATGAAACCAAAAAAGTGAGTGGATATTTAAACAGGACGATACAAGATTCCACACTCCTTAACGGTCAGGATGAGGTTTGAAGAGGAGGGAGTTCAGGTAATGATACAACCAGCATAGTTACCACATTTAAATCCCACTGAAAACGTGTGGGACCAGACCATTTATGTGAAGAATGCAGTGAAGCAGTTTAGATCATTAAAAAACTTCAGGAAAGTGAGGTGGTCATGAAGGCTAAATGAGAACCTACACAATACTGATAAACACATATTTGTCTGTCATTTTTAAAAATAAAGGGATTAAGTAAAGGTTTTTCAGCTAGTTAGACAGACAGACAGACACACATTTGCACCTATCTTACCTATCCGATCGAGTCTGTCAATGGCCACCGTCTCGAAGGCTCTCCTCATCATGGGATACTCCTCCAGGACTTCATTGAAGTTGTCCACAGACAGTGAATAGAGGCGGCAGTAGGTGTCTGCTCGCACACTGGCCGTGCGCCTCCCACGTGTTAGCAGACAAATCTCTGATAGAGCCAGAGAAATCAAAAAAGAGGGACAGATCATGTTACAGGTCTACACCAAATCACAACAATAACCATACATCACATCACTGTTTATAGATACACTACTGTTCAAAAGTTTGCAATCATCATTCATGACCTTGGAATTACTGTTTTCTACATATAAAACAAATTTTGTTGCAGTTACATTATTAAATTATTTTAATATGATGCTGATAATTCAGAGTGAGCATTAAGAATGATGTAATCAGAATGCGTTGCATTTTAAAAGTGGTGATCGAGTTTTGAAGTGGAAAACCTGACAAGAACTTTTATTTGTTTCATTGTATAATTGTAATATTACAATCTGTATATGATATTTTGAATAGTACTGTACACGTATAGCAGAGCAAGAATGCAACCTAAAGCCTTATCCTTTTATAATTATATATTTTTTGGTGTGAATTTGTCTGTACATGTATGTACAGTGTGTACAGTGTATGTACACTGCTTAGACAGCTTCAAATTTGTGTTCATAAACTGGATAAGCAATTCCAGTTCTGCAGAGCTTAAAATAACATTAAAGGGTTAGTTTCCCAGCATCATAAAATGCTACAGCAAGCATCACTTTGATCACAGTCTCTAGTAATTAAGATCTTAATGCTACTTTACAGAAATAGGCTCCAGAATGCCCTTACACTGGCATATAACAGCCTGTTTTTCTGCTGCACATTAATTAATACATCTCATTATCTTCAGCATCAGAGTAGCCAATCCCTGTAGGGGTTACAGACCTACACACCTCTGGAGATGCTGTTGCCTTACTCTAGCCTGCTCCTCAGGGCTGCTTCTCGCTGTAAGTATATTATTACAGAAAACATCCCTATGTTTGTTACACTCTGAATATTAAAAAGCCAATATATCTTATTTTAAAAGTGGTCCTTAGATGTTTGGAACATTTTATTGTCTTTATATTAGCATTTATTAAACTTTTCTCATGATCAAATCAACAAGCGATTAAGTCCTCTTCGTTCTTGCACACAAAATAATACAGTTTAGGTGGGCGAAGGATGTCGCTTTGGGCTCTCAAATGATCAGAACCGACCCTGCTGCTCTGGTACCTTTGTTCTCCCTGAGAGCAGGCAAGGTCAGGGAGGCGATACACTGTGCTGAGAAGAGCCAGCTCAATTATCACACAGTCAAGAGGACGCTCTACAAGTGGAATCCACACAGCCGGAGATGTGGCCCTGCTTCAAAGTGAGCGCTGGCACAGCTCACTGTCATTGAAGTTGATGTTACTGCTGCTAGCAAAAGTCTTTGGAGGGAACAAAGTCTTCTGTGGATGTAAGTTGTCAAGCTGAATAAACATTTGATTATAGATCATGACTGTATCTTTATTAATTAGTGGAACTTTCTTGGAAGGACCCATGCGTATGGTTGCCAGGATCTTAAGAAGAACAGCACCATGTATTAACCCGCAGAAGTAATGATTTTACTTTTGATGTACTATTCAAATGTAAGTATATAAAAGCATATTTAATTCCGCTGTAAGTTGCACAATGAATTATGTTTACATTCTATTTACTTTCTGTATCACTATGAGTAACAGAGTCTGCACTTCTGACTTTTTCCTGTTTGTTTCCATGTCAGAATAACAACAAAAAAACAAAAGAAGGACTCTATGCAGAAATAATAATTTCATCAAATTCAAATCATAGTAAAATATGTTTTTCAACTTATGAATACTTAGAAATTTGTAGTATCTATTGAAAATTTAAAATCTGCACAATTGGCCTGTTTCAATGAAGTACAAAGTGAGAAATAATTCATATTAAATTCAGCTCCGAACTAGTTTGAGGAATGAACACAGAAAAACTGAAAACGGTATTTTGCTGGAAGCTCTTAGTGAGAAAAAGAAATGGACAAAAAAGACAATCAAAGAGCTTCTGGTGTTCTCAGAACAATGGACTGTCCACCTCAGTGTCCACACCTGAAGATTATTCAATGAGCTTGAACTGGGGTTACTTGAACTGTGAGAAGCAGAAAATACAACCAATTTCTAAAACTGAACTTTGGAGGTGTGGAAAAATATCCCTGTAGATTTCTATGAAAACTGAAAGCAAGTTTCCCAAAAAGAGCGGAAGTTGTAATAAGGGTAACAAATGGACACATTTAATACTGGGTTAGAAAAAAAGAAGATTATATTTAGTTATTCAGGCTTTTGTATAATTTTCTCTTAAATATGTGTTTTGTGTTTTTTTTCTGACACTGAAAAATGAATAATTGTTGGCTGTTTTGACTGGAAATTAAAAAAGTGAGGGAAGACCTCTAATTTTTGCATAGTACTGTAAATACACAGGACAGAAAATCCTAAGACTGTTTACATGTAATGTTAAGTTGAGGGTCATGTGCCATCAAATTCACTTAAAGCTGAACACCTTGCGTGTTACGCCGGCTTAGAACCAGAGAGCCAGATCAAGTGCTTTACATTGCTACAAAGCCCTTCATTCTATGGAAAATAATAAGAAGGACTGCCAGAGGGGAATATTAACATATGACCTTGAACATCTGCATGAGGCCACGCATGTGTGTGTGTGTATGTGTGCATGTGTCTGTCCATCAGATGTGATATTTACAGCTCAGTTGAGGAGATTAATGATGCTTGTTGCCTATAGAAGGAAACTACCATGTGTGAAGCTTTCTTACTCAAGCTTGCTTCACATTTATCTCTGAACAGAGTGCGGTTAATTAAGGCTATTCTGAAGTGTGCATGTTTTAAGTTCATGTTTCACCCTCTTAAATGTGTTTCCTTGGTATTTCAGTTTTAACTTCTTTCTGCAGGCCCCCTATGGCTATTTATGTTATTAATATAATGAAATAAAATACTTTTTCTGTTCTCAGATTAACTAGGACACTGTCGGCTCTCTGTGTGTGAAATGTGACTCTGTGTTGGGCTGCTAGTGAGCAATGAGGGATGAAATTGGAGCGATTCTCTTGCTGTGAAAACAGTGCACTCCTTTCCACGAAGGTGGCTGTGCTGAGATAAAATAGCCAGCAGGTTTTCCTGAGAAATGATGTACAACTATGAAAATAAAAACACTTTTATAAATGTTGACTTACTTGCTCATCCAAGAAGATGGATATCTAGTTCATACAGATTACTATCAAAATATATTCCTTCAAAGTTATTGAGAGAAATAGATAGTTTCATGGATCTTCTCCGAAACAGGAGTAAACAGCATTTCTGGGTACTGTGAAAAAGGTTTAAAGGTGTCCCCTGAGAAAGTGAAACTATCAGATTGTTTTGTTTGAAGTACAGGCAAGACATTGTAATTAAAGGAGAGCCATGGAAAATTAGGCTGGCATCCTAATTAAGTCCTACTCGGTGATGCATTGTAAAGGTTGGCTACCTAATGCTCCGATGGTTTTTTGAATAGGGGAATCTCCACGGCTGACATTACAAATTGCGCTGTCATCGCCATCCGGCTGGACTAATTAGGTGTTATTAATCGGCCTTGAGCGCTTTGTATCTGTGGCCTTGCTTTGGCACCCCTGGCTGCTAGCCCATTCACAGCCGTAGTGAACTCCTGCCCCTTCTCGGGCTGTGCCCTAAACACTCTGGAAAAGCTGTTTTCTGGATCAACAGCGCAGACCCCACCAAATGTGCGTGGAGGAATGGCCCCTTAAAGTGGGACAAAGCTCGCCGGAGGGAAATACTAAGGAGTCATGTGGAAATGTCAGCGTTGTTTTTCTCTCCGTCTCATTATTGGTGTACTGTGCACAGTTCAGAAAAAGTGGAGGTGGGAACCAAGGCAAGATGTGACAGTCAAAACAGTTATTGTCTTTTGAAGCTTACCAAAGCTCTAATCTTATTTTCACTGAGCCAGAAAATATGAAATAACAAGAAGATGATAGTCTCCAAGTCAGTACTACAGGCACTAAATATATAATTAGAACTTTCTAACAATCTGGCTATTTTTATCTCAGTCATGCTGTCAGCCAAACCACTAGCTATTTTGCGAACTAAACCCCTTTGAATTGCAGGTTTGTTATTAAAGGGGTATTCAAAGGGCCCCAAACAAGTGTTTACTATATTATTTGTCATATTATGTAATATTCTGCAGGTCAATACAGCACAGAATTCACTATTTTGTGTGTGTTTTTTGTTTTTGTCCATTAGTGTTCACTTACTACAATTCCCAGCCTGCATTACACACATACCTCATAAAACCATTTGAAATTCCCCCCACGGTGTTAAAATAAGGCACTGATGTAGAGGCTAACAGAAACATGATAATCGGTTTCCTAGCAGTAGCTAGCATCCTTCTGTGGGAATAAAGTGTCTGTCCCAAAGTAGTTGTAGTTTTTCAAAAGTTCTTCCTACTTTCAAGAAACATCATAAGAAGGGAGTGTGCCTAGTCTTTAAACCAGAAAAAAGTACGAGACTATTTTACCACTGTGGGAGATGAGTATGGCATGTTAACAACAGAGGAAGCGATGGTTATATTTTTAATTTTGGCTGGAGGGCCCCTTTAAGTTAATTTTAATTAGGATTTAATTAAAACTTATTCAGTAACTACTATGAAACTAAAATGTGAGTTCTCCTAGTCTTTACCTCCAAAGTAAGATCCATCAGATAATTTCATGCCTATGTTGCCTTTGGTAAGGACGCTCACAACCCCGTGCTGGATGAAGTACATCTTTTTGCCGATGGTTCCTTCCCGAATGATATAATCCCCTGGCTGGAAGACCTCAAAGCGGAGCTTCGTCAACATGGCTGTGACAAAAGTTGGGGTCAGCATTGGCGAACAGCGGCATGGAGGCCACCAGCTTGCGGCAGTTGAAGTTGACAATTTCCTGAAAGGGAGAGTCATTGTTGTGCAAAATTAGTTGGTTGAGGTAAAGTCAGACAGAGGCAAATTCAACTTTATCATCCAAGCAGGATATTTATTTGGTCAGTGGTATAAAAATAACTGCTGTTATACCAAAACCTCATATCTCTGAAATGATAACTGTACAGGCGTAAATGTAGGTTAATGTAAAAAGATTTTATTCCAAGGATTTTTGGGCCATTTTTATTGCTTCAATCATCATAAATTCTAAAGGGTAGCAGGTGTTCATTTCTGACCGTTGAATACATTTATAGCAGCAGAAATAACTTCCATTAGAAAGCGATCATTACATTAAAAAGGTAATTTCTACTAGTTAGACCTTCTAATTATCTGAATGATGAATGTAGAATTTTACCTCTCTCAGTGGCTCATTTAGCTCCTCCAAAATACTCTCCTCATCAAACATCTTGCCTTGGTATCTGTGCTCATAGTAATCGTGAATCTTCTGCCGGAAGTCCGCTGGAAGTTTGTGAAAGGACATGTACTGTTCCACTTGTTTGTACTGAGGAGAACAAAAAGAAAACAGAAACACAGCATGAAGGTTTATCAGATGTACATTTCATAGGAAACATCACTTCTGAATGTCAGAGCAACAGCTTGTCATTTTCCACCTAATGTTCACTGGGGCAAGAAGCCTGCTGCTGATGATCATTACATACAGGTAAAGCTACATAATTAAAAAGACAACGCTGCTTTCCTGTATGGGCTTTGGTGCTATTTTAGAAGGCATCAGAGTGGGTTATTTATGGTGGATGTGGTAGACTCTAAAACATGTGAGATTCTGACGTTGGCAAAGCAGACAAACGCAAATGAAGAAAGTGTTTTTCTATTTCTGTTACCCTACTGAATAGTTAAACACCTACCATTTGCTAGTGTACTCTGACTATATGCCTCGGAGAAAGACTTAATATGCCATACTGCTCTGTAAAAAGTGGAACTGGGCAAAAGTTTATCTGAAGCATTTTTGAGGTTTGAACTGGTGTAAAATTTTGTTTTTGTTCATCTAACCTATGTTTGTTTTCTTCAAAGTATTTATTTGAGTAGAATAAAAGTAGTTAAATTGCTTGTTACCATATGAATTCAAAGTGTATGCAGATACTTCACACAATGCTCTCATATATATATATATATATATATAGAGGGAGAGCAGTGATCCCAAATTTAATCAAAAGTGTTAAAAACGCTCGTGCATACAGTACATACAGTTCAGTCTTAGAAGTTGGTTGCATTTTCTGCTTCTCATGATCCAAGTAATCCTACACACAATCAATAATGTTGAGGTCGGGACTCTGGGGTAGTCAGTCCATTATTCTGAGAACACCAGCAGCTCCCTCTGTTTGATTTGCAAATTTTCCTTTTCTCAGTGAGGCTTCTTGGCAGCTACACATCCTTTCAGACCCATAGTGCTGAGTTGTCTTCTCACAGTGGAAGGATGGACAGGAACACCTGTGAATTTTGTCAGATCTCAAGCAAGAGTGAAGCCTGATTTTCTCCTCTCTCTCAAAGATAAAGTACTGTTTAGATGGGTGTTCTCTGACCTATATATAGCATATTATATAGCATATCGTCGCTGTCAGGACAAAACCTCGTACCTCCAAAATGGCTACTCTACAGGAGAAGGAAACACATTCTAGTAATAGAAGTTTAACAATTAACAAGTAATTTTAGGCTATTTCTACTGGTCATTCGTCATGAAACTGCAGTAAAAAAAATGAAAAATGACAAAAATGGAGATACAAAGTTGTTGAGTGACAGTGATGATATGAAAGTCTAACCAGGTTGACTTTGAAGAACAAGGTGTGATGTGATCTCAGTACCCATCAGAAATCTAAGCTTTCAAGTGTTTAACAATGCTGAGGTTTGTTGGAATGTCTTTAGAGTGTGTTTGCAGAGTTTAATTTGAAATGAATTAATAATAATAATCTGTTTATATATACAAGAGGTTGTTTTAAAAGCTTGAGCAAAAAAAGTAAAGTTTATTAAATTACTTTAATTGTCTATATCAAGTATTAAAGTATTGTCTATTAAAAGTATTTAAGTATTTTAAATAAAGAACCAAAACCAAAACTAGAAAGAAGACTTATAAAGTTTCAAAAAATGACAGTAAAACTGAAAGCAAAGCCATCACGTGTGGGTACTTTATTTTCTTTCACCACTCTAGAACAGAACCCTGTTCAAAGCTGAGCCCTGCGAACCATAGGTGGAAGAATGTCAAGTTTTCTTATAGGTCAAATGCTTCATATGAGTAGCCGTCAAGAGGAAGCACATGTACCTGTCACTGGACTGCTACTAGATGCAGAGTGATATCGTCCTGTACTGTCCTGGAGTCACAGACAATCATGACATCCATGCGTCACTCCTACACACTGCCAAAGGTCAGCTTTCCATAAAAATACCCCCAAACTGATGGTAAAATTGATTTCTACTACACAGTAGTAGCGCGTAGTCAATAAAGTATGCACTGATGTTATCATACAGCTAAAGGTTACAGCTAGATAGAATTACTGTAAAGATGTTTTGTTGGAAGGATAAAGGGGATTATCTGTAACATGGCTGTAGTGATTGCAGTGGTTAAGCTTTAAAATAACCTCTTGCATAATCTGATGTGCTTGGCCTTGAGTTTGATGCCATTCGTAGTTCTCTGTGCACAAAGCAGAGTATATGGAATAGGTTTAGGCTCGGTCTAAAAGCTCTCTGAACCTGCCTAGTTATCACAGTTGTTAATACCCCAATATACTGTACAGCATCACCAGAAGCAGGGCAAATTATATGGGACTATGTTGGTAGAACTGAACTACAGTACTGTGCAAAAATTCAGAGACCACCCTTTATTTATTTGATTTTCAGGCAAAATGGCCAAGAGAAGAGAACTCAATGCTATGAGTGTGAGAGACACAGTAAATATGAATGTATATTATGATTAATGCTACCCGTATTAGAGAAAGAAAAATGTGTTTTCCATTATACATCCACTTTTCTCAAAGACTCTTGATATCCAACAATATATCCAAGATATCCAATATATATATATATATATATATATATATATATATATATATATATATATTCAGTTATACTGAATATTAAGCCTAGACTTTTAGACTTTTTAGGAGTTAGTGAAAGCAAGCAATTAAGCAACGACAACAAAAACAATACACAGTATCACTGGCATATCAGACAAAGCTTCTAGCATGAACCCACCATGTTCCCTCAGATTCCTCTCTTTCTCTCTCTCTCTCTCTCTCTCGCCTTAAGGAGTTTTATGCTTAGTTTGAGCCACTAAATGAGTGAGTCACAGAGAGAAGAAGGGAAGAAAGGAAGTAAGGGAAAGAGGAGAGGAGAGGAAGGGAGGGAGAGGAGGAAAAGTATAGGAGGAAAGAGGGTAAGAGAAGTGAACGTGAGAAAAGGGAGGAGGAAAAGAGGAGAAAATAGTAAAGTAGAAAAGAGAGGAAGAGAAGAGACGAACAGAGAGTTAAAGAGAGGAGAGACTGGTTAGGAGAAGAGAGAAAAAGAGAAGCAAAAAAGAGGAAAACAGGAGAAAATGAGAAAAGAGAGAAGAGCCTCCGAACTGAAAGGTTCCCTGAAGTTCTTTTAGCAAAGTCTAACATGCACTTTGTCACGAAATGTTTTAAAAGAGGCTCAAGCAGTAATTGTAACAGAGTCCAGGTAATTGCGTTTGACTCTCCGGCCGAACCCCTGTTCTTATCTCAGGCCTGATTGAGTGAAGCAGAGAAGAGAAGGAAACGCTGATTGAGAGAGACAAACAGTAAATTACTCAGACTTTCTCCAGCTTGTTGAAACTAGCTGGACCTGCTTGTGTTTGAAGCTGGGGCTCAGCGTCACTGCAGTAGAGTATCGCTTTTGATTAAATAAATGAATCTTTAGAAGTCGAGACTTCTTACTCACTAAAATTCTCATGTTTCTCTGTTTTTTAAATATAACTGCACAATTACATGTTTAATGACATAAAGAGTTCAGGAAGAAATTACACTGACATTTGATTTACATTCTGTATCAACAGCCTTGGTTTTCTGTGTGTTTCAATGCCAAAAATCAACTTCAGATTTCGAGAATGTGCTGTTAAGAACATTTCTGAGAAGGCAGAGACTTCAAAGCGTGGCTTTTACATGGTTAAAATATTGTTCTCTGACAAATTAACATGTTGGCACATCAACATGATGACACAACAAGTCTCCATCAGCATCCAGTGTTACCGGTTAGCTGTAGTTTTAGCTCTTTAGCTCATCTGAGGCATCTCAGTTATGTTACTTACCTGATGTGAAAACCTACTGTCATAAGCCTTGACAACTAACAAACAAGAGTTTCTCAATGCTAAACTGTTTGTAGCCACCTGGTTTAACAGCTAACAACTTCCCTTCTAGGCTGCTGTCATCGCAGTCTACATAGCTAGATTCATTTTCTGATCTTTTGATGCCCCCTAATTTTACACAGAGCTTAGATTATTTTGGCATCTGAGGGGTGAAAATGATTAAAGAATAGGAAACTGAGACACGGCCCATGATGGACAGGATAAGCGAGACATCAAGTAGGCTCTAACTGTAATGGCTATGTATATATTTGCTATCAAAGATTTATTATATAAAGAACAGATAAAAACTTGAATATATAGTAACAAACCCCAGGTAGATGGGAAAAATATCCAAAAATACTGTAAATTACACCTTACGGATGACTTAATAGTGAGAATGATACAGTGTAAAAATATGAATTGCTAATATAGCTACTTAGTAGAGACACTAAATGTGTTGTGCGCAACTTTGCTGCTTTTTAATTGATTTGAATTGCCTGCAACTGCCAAGTTGCACAGAAATTATGTTATGGGCAACACACAACATGCAACTAGTTGCATGGAAGTTTCCCCATATAAAGCCAGCCTAAGGCTGCAGTTTGAGTAGCTGGTGTTGGTATATATAATAGTGTTGAAGCTTAACAGTACATTAATTCTTTTCATGTGACGTCATTTTAATGCTCAGGAACGTTCGCTTATTTGTAGCATGTATGTAAAGTTTGCATTTTGACTGCTAAACGACCTTATCTTTCAGAGAATTTAGCGACACTGAGGGAAAATGTCAACTTTTGGTCACATCAACAGAAGGTGCATGAAATTTTTAATAGAGAAAATTCTATTGATGTGAATAATAATAAGCTTTGAGAAATTCACACTGGCATGAAAACATTAATCTAGAATTAAACGCTGCTCTGCAAACAAAAATCTCACTGAATGCGGATGTATTTAATACCCTGCATTCCATCAACAGCTACTTAAAAAGATCCACAACTAAAGAAACAGTAACAGTGTACTGTATATATTACAATTCATATTACTGGCTCTTTAAACAATGTGTAGTAGCTGGTTTCATGGGCAACACAAGAAATTGAAGGATATTCCTGTAGCGTCCTCGAAAAGTGTCAGAATGTAGGCTGTATTTGACGAATCCTTCTCATTAGGAGAGCTTTTCGATGGTTAGCGGTGTAGAAACC